ATGATGCGCAATTCGACACGATCTGCGATGCTGCGTGCGATGTGCCCTGCTGTCATGATAGTGACAGTCACCGCAGTATGTTTTGTCAACGTCGCCCGTGCACTCTTCTGTCAAGTCCAAAGTGCTCACATACTTGGCAATGTTTTTGCAGTGATTAACTTTTATCCTAGTAATAATAATAATAATAATAATTATGTCACGGGTAACTTTAATGAAGTACCCGCAGGCCGTGTCGATCTGCACATCGTCCACTCTCTCATGTACTTGGCCTGCTTTGTCTGTGTATCCATTTCATGTGCGATACCGCAGTATGTTTTGTCAACGTCGCCCGTGCACTCTTCTGTCAAGTCCAAAGTGCTCACATACTTGGCAATGTTTTTGCAGTGATTAACTTTTATCCTAGTAATAATAATAATAATAATAATTATGTCACGGGTAACTTTAATGAAGTACCCGCAGGCCGTGTCGATCTGCACATCGTCCACTCTCTCATGCACTTGGCCTGCTTTGTCTGTGTATCCATTTCATGTGCGATCCACAAAATCGACTAGACAGTGGGTGCAATACGCTCTCTACCTGAAGACGTTCTTCTGGCGACATCTCGCCATGTACTTGGCCTGGCTTTGTCTGTGTATCCATTTCATGTTCGATCAACAAAATCTCAATGCACTACAGAGACTAGACAGTGGGTGCAATACGCTCTCTATCTGAAGACGTGAACCATTAAATTTTTTGGAAAAGTTATACGTACACCTGAAACGTAATGAAGTACAGGAATAGAGAGAGTGACTACAATACGCTCTCGACCTGATATAGTGATAACGTGAGTACAAGACACTCTCCACCTGATAACGTGTTAGAAGGTAACATGTCTACAGTCCCCCCGTACCCTTCCGACACGACTGTGGACCATTAAATTTTTTTGAGAAGTTATACGTACACCTTAAACGTAATGAAGTACAGGAATAGAGAGAGTGACTACAATACGCTCTCGACCTGATAACGTGAGTACAAGACACTCTCCACCTGATAACGTGTTAGTAGAAGGTAACAGGTCTACAGTCCCACCGTACCCTTCATCATTCCTCATTCACCATCGCGCGATACCCTGGCACACACTGGCAACATATCAATGGGGTGCCTTACCGTCGTCTAGAGGAGACGTCTTCGCAGCAATATTTTCCCTCCTGCGCATTCAGTCGCCGACGCGACAGCGTTCACGGGGCCGTTCCAGTTGCGGAAGACCTTCGATTCATCGGGCCAATTCAGCAACAGGGCCGTGGACACACAGGGGGCAGAGGAGAGACATTGTTAGTGGACAAGAAATATGCAGTGGCAAGTGGCGAGTGCCGCATGGATGTCAAGTTGTCATGCACAATTCAGCTATTACTTACGGTCCAGCTAGTTCTGCCATTGCTCGCTCGTCCTGGTTCCTCCTCGTTCGTCTTCCTGCACGTCTGCACTTCTCCTTCCCCACCGTTGGCTTTGCGGTACGGGGGTGCCGGAAGGAATTCCCACCATGTATCCATGTACATGAAGTCCCACCATGACTCTCCATGTACATGTCCACGGCCACGTCAGCAGTTTGTATAGTACCGGAAGGAGTTCCCACGATGTCTCCAAAGGCCTAGAGCGGACGTCTTTGCAGCAATTCTTTTCGCCCTGCGCATTCAGTTCGCCATGTCTCCAAAGGCAAAGGCCTAGACTAGAGCCTAGTAGAGGGGACGTCTTTGCAGCAATTCTTTTCACCCTAGTACCCTGCACATTCACTCCGCCGACACGACAGCGTTTACGGGGCCGTTCCAGGTGCAAAAGGTCCACGTCAGCAGTTCTCAACTATTTCGCGTACGGGATAGTCGCCGCGACAGCGTTTAAGGGGTCGTTCAAGGTGCAAAAGGTATCCATCAATGGCACTTTGCAGTATGGGGTACGGAAAAGGGGCCTCCTCGTTCGACTTCGTCGACTTCTAGAATTCTGCAGTTCTCCTTCCCGTCAGGGGTACCGAAAGGGGCCTCCTCGCAGTTGTCCTTGCCGTCAGGTCCACGTCATGCAATTCTCAACTATTTCGCGTACGGGATAGTCGTCTTTGTCGTACGCGACATCGGCGTTTACCGAGTGGCATTGGCACAAAGCAGACCGTTGACGGTGTCACGTGTCAAAAAAGTATCAACAAAGTGTCGACTACGTGTCGACCACGTGTATAGCGGTACACTCAGCGGTACACTAATTCTCGTGCCATTCTCGTGTCACAAAACTGGAACATCGAGTACCAGTATGGAAAGGCTTCAGACAGGAAGCCTTTCCAATACCGGTAGCTGATCTGAATCCGAATGAAACAGATGAAGACTGGCGCCAGATATTGGTCTAATCCACACAAGGCAGCCAACTGGCGAAGCCATGTGAATCAAGCAAAATTGACAAACGTGTCCCCAATCATTAGAAAACGTGTGCGTGTTATCATCATTAGAAAACGGGTGCGTGTTACAGGATTGGCCTGGCAACTTCAAACAGGCACAATCCACAAACTTAGTAAACCCCTCAACTTCATTGGTAACGCACCAATACAAACACAGCCTCGGCAACAGCAAAACGGGAGAGCCGTTACAAATATGGTGCCCTGGCAACTTAACCGGAACGCACCGAACACAAGCTTGGCCTGGCAACTTCCAACAGGCACAACTGACAAAACTCGGCACCCGGCAACAGCAAAAGGGTACACCATTACGTAGTAAATGTTAGACTACAACTACTACAACTATTGCTACGATTGCTCTCAGTCTTATCGTACACAATTACACTCGGTAGGCTTTTAGAACGATTATATTATTACACGCAAGTCACCGGAGAGAGACTGAAGAACTCAGAGAGATCAGAGTACAGAACTGGGAGAATAGAACTGAGAGCCGGACTAGAACAAGACTGCGAGAACAGGACAAGCTCTTCACAAGCGCAGCCTTCAGGGAATATCTAATACTATGGAGGGAAAAAGGGGTGCATGCAGTAAGCGAGACAGGGTGAGCAGGAAAAGGGGTTTATACCTTAAGCAAGACAGGGTGAACGGGAAAAGGGGTGCACGCAGTTAGCGAGACAGGGTGAGCGGGAAAAGGGGTCAGATGGGCAAAGGCCAGCGGGGAGTGCATGAATATGTGCAGGGGAGTGTGTACATATGGGAGTATGTACGGGGCTCGTACAACATTACCACCCTCTCCGGGTGAGAAAAACTCGCGTCCCCCACGAGAAGAAAAATATAAATAAATGGGGAATGGGAGTAACGCATGCACAAAACAACCGCACATACACAACTCACACACTCATGTACAACTCACACGCAACGCATATTCACCACCCCACATGCACAGCACGCGATACACAATGAACATGCACAACGCGTGAAACACGCTGTCAAAATAACAACATGAATAATTAAGTGTTATAGGGCAGTCGGGGGGGGGGGGGGGGAGGGGGGGGGGGGGAGCACACAGGCACACCAAATAGCTCCACGTACATACATCACATAGCCACACTCAACATACCACCGGACCATTTAACAACGCGTGTAACACAATAGACCAATCCCGAAAAGATTGTCTGGGTTCGTGAAAGGGGGCAAGCGTGAAAGCCAGCACGTGTGAAGTGCATCGTTTTGTATTCAGTTTGTGTGTGTCAGCTCATGGCGGAGGAGAGAGAGACTTTTGCTCGCCGAGCTGAAGCTAAAGGATTTGATGGAGTCGTGCCAGCAGCTAGTCAAAGGACCTTTGGTACCTTAGGCCGACCCTGACGGAGTTTGGAGGCCAGATAGCTCTCAGTGAGGAGAGAAACATTCGCGTGGCGATCGACTCTCCGTAAAAAATGCAAGCTACATAGCGCCGACATACTGCAACAGCTACGATTTCAGCTACTAGTAACTAACGTTACTTCTCGATCTGCTCCTTCACAAAGTTCAACTATTTACTAGTCCTGACTGTTGTAGTCTGAAGCTGGAGTCTCATCGCCCACCTACAGGTAGCTTTTGGAGCTGATGGATTTCCCGACTTGGACTCCTTCCGCAAACTCTCGCAACATTACTACAGTGTATGCTGTGTTTCCGCACGCTCGTGTCGACATGTCACCTATACTGTACATGTACCGGGTCGCGGAGGAGCTTGACGACCTCCGCAGACTCCAGGTTTCCGAAATACTGCCGTCGTCTTCGTTGATGTCGCTGGTGACATTCTCCCCTTGCAGGACGTGCACATAGTTGTCGTCCTGGGGGTAAAGACTATGTTGTCTTTCGAAATAGTTCTTCATCACGCTCGCGCGAATGATGTTTCTCATCATGAACTCGTTCCGACGGTGTGACCAGGTGACACGGCGATGGTCTTTGGCGGGGCACTGGCTTGGCCAAAACGATATCTTCTTGTGCAATATAACATTGATCGGCTGCAGATGAGTACAGTCACTTCGTGGTTGATCCTATAGGAGGGCAGCTGCCAGGAAAGAGGCAGGACTCATCGAAGACGAAGCGCTCGCAACAAACAATAGCACTCGAAATACTTCGTAAGATTTAGGGCCTATCGCTTTGAGCCACAGCGCTCACAGCCTTGCCTACTTCATCAAAGTGAGCTCTACATGTTCGTTGACCTCTTCACACTACACAGAAGAGCGAAACAAGGATATCTCTAAGCATTTCAACTCCAACAGCAGACCATTACCAGTGCGAGAGAGAAAACTACAAAGGGCTTCGCTTTCTGTCGCATCGTCTCTCTTGCATGCAACTAACGAGAAAATCGTGTACTTACCCTCGCATTCACACGCGAACTATCAAACACGTCCTCTGCCGCATGCTGATCAGGTAGTGCCATGTATGTGTTGTACAGTGCACTCTCAGTTGACATGCCCCCTTTCGAACCCAGACAATCTTTTCGGGATTGGTCTATTCTACTCGGACAACTCAAATTCAGACACCAACTCTGTCTCGTCCCTAAACCGGTCATATCTGGTGGAGGTAGGGGGGGGGGGGTGGGGGTGGGCTGGAGAGGTGGATGCCCAGTGCGCCTTCGTGCCCGCCGATCAGCGGCATGGCGGCTAGCCCGAGCGATGTAGGCGGCCGATCGGACTTGCCGCTGTGTCCGCTGCGCCCGACGTCTGCGGATGACACAGCGTGCATCCTCTGGCCGGCGGTCAGGCATCAGGAGACAGAGAGGTTGGGGAGGTGGAGGCGGCGGCTGTGGTGATGTAGATAGCGGGGGTGGCCTGTAGAATGGGTGCTGGTGCACCTGCACCGTGAGGGGACTGCACACCACGCAGAACACAGGAGAAGAAACACAGCAACCAACAACCAAACCAGAGACAGAAATTTATGGGCTAGACTCCACAGAGAACGAACACTATGCCGGAGACAGCGAGGACGAATGCTCGGCTGAAGGAGAATACTTAATATGACGGTGGGCGCTGCAACAGAGAGGACGAATACCCAGCGAAAGAGGAATAGTTAAATATTACAACGGGCACTGCAACAGCGAGGACGAACACTCAGCTGAAGAGGAATACTAAAATAGGACAGAGGACACTCCAACAGCGAGGATGAACACTCGGCTACATATCTTAAAACAAGGGTGTAAATGAAGAGGGCAGACGGGGAATGGTGACTCCTGCCATGATGGGAGCGGGGGATGGGTTACCCGGGGCGTCCACAGGTGGGGGGTTCACAGGGCCAAATATTCGCTTTAATCTATTCCTGTGGACGGTCATGATGGTGGTGCTGCGGGATGAATGGATGCCAAGCCGTTTAATGGTGTAAACTAGGGGGGAATGAACAACATAAACTTGCCACGGGCCATCCCAATACCGGAACAACTTAGGGCTGTCGCCAGCTTGGGGGTGTGGTGTCGGTAAAGCCAAACAAACTGTCCTACATTCAAAGCATCGGCATTTGCTTTGAAATCACAGTTGATTTTAGCACGACGGTAGCCTACATCCAAATGTTCCCAGACTAACCTATAGGCGGCGGTCAGCCGATCTCTCAACCGTACCGCATAGGATGTGTGAGTGATGGAGCTGGGAATGGTATATGGGGCTGGGCAGATCATTGATAGGGGCAGACGGGCCTCCCTCCCGAACAACAGAAAGAATGGGGTATAACGAGTGGAATTGTGTTCACTCGTATTGTAGGCTAATTGGACCAGTGGCAACATCATCCCAAGAATCACAATCAGCTGAATCCATAAAAGCACGGAGCATGACCTGAATGGTGCGGTTTGCTCGTTCAATCATGCCATCACACATAGGGTGATATGTGGTCGTTCGAGTCTTTTTCACATTGAACCGCGTGCATGATTGAAGAAACAGCTGTGAACAAAACTGTGATTGCTTTTATTGCTTTTATTTTACATCGCAAGTCAAACGAGCAATCATGCCCAATCTTATGATCCTTGGTCCGAATGGATTTTCTCAGGGGCTCCAAAACGGACAAAAATCCGCTCCACTAAGGCCACGGCTGCAGTTCGGTCCGTAATGTTAGGTAATGGGATAATCTCTAGCCATTTGGTAAAGTAAACCCCAATGACGAGAATACACTTATAATTGTTGACAGTGGTAGGTAAAGGGCCCATATTGTCCTCTGCAATGGACTCAAACGGCTCGCCGGCTTTAACACGAGAAAGTTCTGCTCTAGACAGAGGCCGGGGGTTCTTACACACTGCACAGACATTACAGTTGCGACAAAACAATGCAACACTGGTAGACATATTTGGCCAGTAGCACGTTAAGCGGAGTCTAGCTAACGTCCTATCTACTCCAAAGTGACATATAATCTCAGGGTCGTGGGTTTGAGCCCCACGTTGGGCGCCAATGTAGTAAATGTTAGACTACAACTACTACAACTATTGCTACTATTACTCTCAGTCTTATCTTACACAATTACACTCGGTAGGCTATCAGAACGATTATATCATTACACGCAAGTCACCGGAGAGAGACTGAAGAACTCAGAGAGATCAGAGTACAGAACTGGGAGAATAGAACTGAGAGCCAGACTAGAACAAGACTGCGAGAATAGAACAAGCTCTGCACAAGCCCAGCCTTCAGGGTATATCTAATACTATAGAGGGGGAAAGGGGGTGCATGCAGTAAGTGGGAATAGGGTGAGCGGGGAAAGGGGTGCATGCAGTTAGTAAGTCAAGTACTGAGACAGTCGACTATAGTATCTAGTTAGAGTGTGGACAGTTTGTCTTAACTCGTATCAAGAATACATGAAAATCAGAGTGTGCAGCTCGGATGGGTGGCTGTCATGGCGGAATTCCGTGATAACATAATTTTAGTGATGTAATGCGTACAAGCATGATTCAAGCAGGTCTCTTTCTGCACAACTGCAGCTCAGTTGTACGCACTACGCCATTTCCCGCCTCACATCTGCACCAAATATGGTGTAATCCCGGAATTCGGCCGTGACAGACACCCATAGTAGAAAAGGCCCCAAGCTGCACACTCTGGTTTTCATGTACTCTTGCTTGTATCCATATGTCCTTTTCCTTTCCACAAAATCTCTGGCCGGGAATACGCCAAGGTGGATTGCCGGCTCTCTATGCCATGCAACACCGCTGTTGGAAGAGCAGCTTTTAGGCCAGCCCCATTGCAAAACAGGTAAAAGCGCACCGAAGCTAGGAAAACACAAATCGATGAAAGAGGCAGATTTCTTAAAACAAAGAGACTAGTTGTGAAGGACACAACATTTTCAGCAGTCAGCAGTAGGAGAAACTGCCATGACGAAATTTTCCTGGCAAAACTATAAGCATGCAGCAATACTACGCTTACATTTTTGCGCCATACGTTCTGAGACAGAGTCCTTGACTAGCTCGTCACTGGCCGCACTCAGAGCATCGAGCTGGGGGAAGGTACTTGTACTGGGTGGCTGCGGGGGACAGTTCTCGGAACCGAGACATCTGTAACCGACACAAAGCATCAGAGACAGTATTGTGAAAACTAGCAATGTGATGTCTGAACAAAATGTAATTGCCAGACTCAGCTTTAGCCAGCAAAAACTTTAAAGTTTTCACCGTAACAAGAATGCAATGGCTATTATTTTTGTTACGGCAAGACCCTTTCCGCCAAGCTTGCAGAGCAGCCTCATTATCACAATAGAACATAAGCAGCCGCTTGCCAGACCAAGCATGAACCCAAACAGCGCAAGCTAGAGCAATGGGAACCAGCTCCGCAGGAAAGCACAAATTTAACTGCATTCAACCATTCACTGCAGCGCATGTGAAGCCAACAGTAGCAGTAGTGCCAAAATGCAAATTGCAGACTCACTCTGCGCATAATAATTATCCCGAGACCATCACTCAACACGCTTGGTTACTCCAAGCTGGCATTTATAGGCTCGCCACACTGCAGTAAGTGGTCGAGGACAAGTTGCAGAAATAGATTGAGGGAATAAAATATCAAGGTAGATTGAGATGGATGGACGGTTCAAGGTATTCGTCCTAAGGGATCAATCTGCATATACAGTCAGACCTCGCTGAACCGCACGCATCCATTTTCCACAAAAATATCCTGATAGGCGAGGGAACCGGATAATCAAACACACATACTGTATATATTATGCGTGACATATGCTGCAAATCGGCAGCCAACAATTTTCTTCCGGTGGGTGAGGGATCCAGATAATATGGACCTTTCGCATTTGCTACGAATCGAATGCGAAACGAAAGTTTGATCCGGCTCGTAATCGTTTCGTTGAAAGCAGATTTAGGTTTCGCAAGTCGTCATGCAAATGTGCATGGCAACTACGAATACGGCCGGTAGCTTGGCGTACGGGTGTTTACACGCACACGTGCATGGATCATGGAATCAAGGGAAAAATGTGTACCTGGCCAAGTAAATGTGTACCTGACGGATTCGGAGCGCGCCACGAATGAAGAGGCTTCCATTCGTGAAAACGAGCTCTCCGCAGGGACTCTGACGAATCCTCGAACCCAGGTGGCGAATCAGCATTGGTTTCGTATCCGTACGCGGGGTGCGAAAGGTCCCGAATAAAGGACCAGAGAAAGCGAGGTCTGACTGTACCCCTGTCCCAGGGAACGTAATATAGTCCGGGCTGGCTTTTAGTTTTAAAACAGGATAGGCGAGGGAACCGAATAACAGAACATAACATTACAAACTCTACAGTGTATTATTCACTTGGCATATCAAAAGATGTGACACCGTGCGTACATGTATATGCGTGACATGCAATACAGTTACCATGCATATTCTGTAAAAAAAGCGAGTCAACAAAAACAACAAACCCCTTTTGTTTGTACAACTCCCTGGTTCTGGCTTCTGATATGCCACGTGAACCCTTTTGACCACAAAACCATGCCCGTTATGTGGGGTCTGGTTATGTTGTAAGTGTAGCCGATATGTTGTAAATTGGTTGCCTGGAATCTTCTTCCGGATAGTGAAGAGTCCGGATCAACGAGGACTGGATAAGCGAGGTATGACTGTACTCAGTACTGGTGTAGGTTGTTATGTCTGACAAGAGGTCGAAAATGCCATCACAGCCACCAGGAAACCACAGATATAATCACAAACAATCCTATATCAAGGGAAAGGTGTCAGTCAGCACCGACGCAATCCACACAGTCAAGTAGAGCCAATTTAGTAACTGAACGTTTCCGTTCCTTCTCATCATTGTTGTTGTTGTTGTTTCAAGTCTTTATTCTCACGATAGCCAGTGGCCAATAAGAGATAATAGTGTAAGAAAGGAGAAAGAGTGAGGAAGAATTGGGTGGGCAGGGCCTAGGGGTTAATGACTACTTAAGTGTACGGGCAGAGGTGGTCGCCACACGAGCATACAGAGTTGTGTACTTTTAAGTACACAACTAAAGTGTACGGGCAGGGGTGGTCGCTACACGAGCATACAGAGTTGTGCAACAGCAGAGATATCTCGGATTTGAAGGGAGAAGGAGAAGGGATTTCGCGAAGCTGGGTGGGCAAGCAATTAACTTAAAGTAATGAAGGGCCTTGTAGAGGGGAGAATGGAGACAGCGGTCAGTCCGCGGAGTTGGAAAGTGCCAAGTACGAGAGCGACGTAAATTATACGAAGGTTGCATGTTGCTAGCAGTATGCAGCGAGAGTTTATGTGGTGGGGCATAATTGTGGTGCAGAGAATGCGCGAAGAGTATATGTTTAACTTTAATGCGTGAAAATAATGTTGGCCATTTGATGCGATGCAAAAGGTGGGAGTGTTCTAAGTGTGTGTAAAGGGGAAGGTGGAGACATATTCTGGCGGCTTTCCGCTGGAGTCGTTCTAGCCTGTCAAGGGAAGTGTGTGACAACGGTGTGAGAGCATTGCTCGCATATGAGAATATAGGTAGTATGTATGTCTGATAGATGTGAGATAAAGAATCACTGGTGAGTGTAGACCTTAGTCTAAAAAGAATATTGAAAGACTTGAGTGATTTTTTGACTATGTATTCAACATGCTCCGTCCAACGGAGGTCAGACTGAAAGATTATTCCGAGGTGTTTGTATTTTTGACTATGTATTCAACATGCTCCGTCCAACGGAGGTCAGACTGAAAGATTATTCCGAGGTGTTTGTATTTTTGTGCTACGGTAAGCGGACTATTCTTGAGGGTGATCTGGGGTAGCTGTTCAGGGGGGGGGGGGGGGGCGGTTATTGTGGTAGAACGGGAGGATGACTGTTTTCTTTGTGTTAACCAGCAGGTGCCATCTTTGAAGCCAGTCTCCAGCTGCTGTGACACTCTGTTGTAGGTTTCGGGTACAGTATTGAGGAGTTCTCGCTATGGAAATCAGAGCGGTGTCATCTGCAAATTGGCTAAAGGTGGTGCCGGGATTCTCACATGCGTGTGGAAGGTCTATGGTGTAGACGAGGAATAGAAGCGGCCCAAGAACAGATCCCTGAGGGACGCCGGCAGGGATCTCGAGGAAAGGCGATAGATCGCCATCCACCTGGACCCTCTGCCGACGCACCAACAGGTACCGTCGGAACCACTCCAGGGCGTTACCCTGGACACCATAGTGGGAGAGTTTTGCTAGAAGGCCGGCATGCCACACACGATCGAAGGCCTTGCTTAGATCAAAAAAGCAGGCTGTGACGTGTTTCCCGTCGTCTCTCGCAGTGGAGAGGGTATGCAGGAGACGAGCGAGCTGCTGCTCAGTGCCGTCTTTCTCGCGGAATCCGGACTGCTGGTTGGGCAGGTGGGGTGTGATGTGCAGAGTTGTTTGAATTTTGTTTGAATTCTTTATTCTCACGATGGCACCATCGCCAATAAGAGATAAATTGATGAGAAGGTGAGATTGTGTGTTGTTGTTGTTGTTACTTTATTTTACTTCACCAGAATTACAGGCAGTAGAATGCCTTCTCACTAGACAAGGTCTAGTTCTCACAAATGATGAAGAATCATAGGCTTTACTTTTGTGTGGATTGCGTCGGCGCTGACATCATTTTCTTCGAAATTGGATACGCCTCCAATTATTTCCTTACAATCATATATCACAGAGAAGAAAACAGAGACAAGAGACAGACTGCACAGTCCCCAAGACGTACCTGATGTGAACACTCAGGCTTTGGTGAGACGGGGCGCTAGGACCACGCACAGGGATAGGCACGGAACTGTAGCATAGCATGACAAGACACTGGTCCAACGGAGACTGGCAGGGTAGCACAGGAACGCAGCAACGCTAAATAAAACTGAAGGCAACCATAGAGGAAATACAAACAACAACTTTTTAACATATTTATCAACTTAACTTCTAGCGAAAAATGCACTGATACCAATGTTGAAGGTCCTAGGTCGATCGGAATAGCCGTTCCTGAGTTATACCAGCCTTACCTTTGCACTTAATTTGGTGACATCGTGATGACATTATTAAGTTGCCCAGACAGGGCCGGATTTATGACGTCAGAGAGATAGACTTTGAATGAGAGTAGATGGGGAAAAACCAATTTCTCTGCAACAATGAATATCATGAATTTTTTTGAAGTTGGGATACTGGTATGGTGCCTTATGTCCCATACCTTAGGTCGAAAAAGATCCGACTTCTTTGGGACAATGGAGAGCCGAAATACTGAAAGTTCCCCATCTACTCTGATACAAAGTCTATCTCTCTGACGTCATAAATCCGGCCTGGACCGCCTGGTCTCGCAAGTTAAAGACGTCATCATGATGTCACCAAATTTAGTGCAAACTTCAGGCTGGTTTAACTCAGGGACGGCTATTCCGATCAACCTGGGACCTTCACCATTGGAATCAGTGCATTTTTCGCTAGAAGTTTTGGAGTTTTCATTTTAGGGTGAACTTCCCCTTTAATTAATTAACAATGCCCCTCAACCACAAGATAGAGTCTACAGTGAAGACTGACAGGAGCCACACACAATACTGCTTAATTATGCAGAGCGCACTCCAAGTCAAAGACCTCAGAACACAGGACACAACATGATGAGAACATGCAACGTATGGAGACCCATACAGTGTGGCCAATAGGACACAGCCCGCACAGGATGGAACAGACAACAGGATGGAACAGGCAACAGGATGGGAGTATGCAACGTATGGAGACCCATACAGTGTGGCCAATAGGACACAGCCCGTGCAGGATGGAACAGACAACAGGATGAGAACATGCAACGTATGGAGTCCCATACAGTGTGGCCAATAGGACAGCCCGTACAGAATGGAACAGACAACAGGATGAGAGTATGCGACGTATGGAGTCCCATACAGTGTGGCTAATAGGACACAGCCGGTACAGGATGGAACAGACAGCAGGATGAGAACATGCAACGTATGAAGTCCCATACAGTGTGGCTAATAGGGCACAGCCCATACAGGATGGAACAGACAACATGATGAGAACATGCAACGTATGGAGTCCCATATAGTGTGGTCAATAGGACACAGCCCGTACAGGATGGAACAGACAACATGATGAGAACGTGCAACGTATGGAGTCCCATACAGTGTGGCCAACAGAACACAGCCGGTAAAGGATGGAACAGACAACAGGATGAGAACATGCAACGTATGGAGACCCATACAGTGTGGCCAATAGGACACAGCCCGTACAGAATGGAACATACAACAGGATGAGAAAATGCAACGTATGGAGTCCCACACAGTGTGGCCAATAGGACACAGCCCGTACAGAATGGAACAGACAACAGGATGAGAACATGCAACGTATGGAGTCCCATACAGTGTGGCCAATAGGACACAGCCCGCACAGGATGGAACAGACAACAGGATGGAACAGGCAACAGGATGAGAACATGCAACGTATGGAGACCCATACAGTGTGGCCAATAGGACACAGCCCGCACAGGATGGAACAGACAACAGGATGGAACAGGCAACAGGATGAGAACATGCAACGTATGGAGACCCATACAGTGTGGCCAATAGGACACAGCCCGTACAGGATGGAACAGACAACAGGATGAGAACATGCAACGTATGGAGTCCCATACAGTGTGGCCAATAGGACACAGCCCGTACAGAATGGAACAGGCAACAGGATGAGAACATGCAACGTATGGAGTCCCATACAGTGTGGCTAATAGGACGCAGGCGGTACAGGATGGAACAGACAGCAGGATGAGAACATGCAACGTATGGAGTCCCATACAGTGTGGCTAATAGGACACAGCCCGTACAGGATGGAACAGACAACACGATGAGAACATGCAATGTATGGAGTCCCATACAGTGTGGCTAATAGGACACAGCCCGTACAGGGTGGAACAGACAACACGATGAGAACATGCAACGTATGGAGTCCCATATAGTGTGGCCAATAGGACACAGCCCGTACAGAATGGAACAGACAACATGATGAGAACGTGCAACGTATGGAGTCCCATACAGTGTGGCCAACAGGACACAGCCGGTAAAGGATGGAACAGACAACAGGATGAGAACATGCAACGTATGGAGAACCATAGAGTGTGGCCAATAGGACACAGCCCGTACAGAATGGAACATACAACAGGATGAGAACATGCAACGTATGGAGTCCCATACAGTGTGGCCAATAGGACACAGCCCTCACAGGATGGAACAGACAACAGGATGGAACAGGCAACAGGATGAGAACATGCAACGTATGGAGTCCCATATAGTGTGGCTAATAGGACACAGCCCGTACAGGATGGAACAGACAACATGATGAGAACATGCAATGTATGGAGTCCCATAATTATAGTGTGGCCAATAGGACACAGCCCGTACAGGATGGAACAGACAACATGATGAGAACATGCGACGTATGGAGTCCCATACAGTGTGGCCAACAGGACACAGCCCGTACAGGATGGAACAGACAACAGGATGAGAACATGCAACGTATGGAGTCCCATACAGTGTGGCCAATAGGACACAGCACGTACAGGATGGAACAGACAACAGGATGAGAGTATGCAGCATATCGAGACCCATACAGTGTGGCCAATAGGACACAGCCCGTACAGAATGGAACATACAACAGGATGAGAACATGCAACGTATGGAGTCCCATACAGTGTGGCCAACAGGACACAGCCGGTAAAGGATGGAACAGACAACAGGATGAGAACATGCAACGTATGGAGTCCAATATAGTGTGGCCAATAGGACACAGCCCGTACAGGATGGAACAGACAACATGATGAGAACGTGGAACATATGGAGTCCCATACAGTGTGGTCAATAGGACACAGCCCGTACAGAATGGAACATACAACAGGATGAGAACATGCAACGTATGGAGTCCCATACAGTGTGGCCAACAGGACACAGCCGGTAAAGGATGAAACAGACAACAGGATGAGAACATGCAACGTATGGAGACCCATACAGTGTGGCCAATAGGCCACAGCCCGTACAGAATGGAACATACACCACGATGAGAACATGCAACGTATGGAGTCCCATACAGTGTGGCCAATAGGACACAGCCCGTACAGAATGGAACATACAACACGATGAGAACATGCAACGTATGGAGTCCCATACAGTGTGGCCAACAGGACACAGCCAGTAAAGGATGGAACAGACAACAGGATGAGAACATGCAACGTATGGAGACCCATACAGTGTGGCCAATAGGCCACAGCCCGTACAGAATGGAACATACACCACGATGAGAACATGCAACGTATGGAGTCCCATACAGTGTGGCCAATAGGACACAGCCCGTACAGAATGGAACATACAACACGATGAGAACATGCAACGTATGGAGTCCCATACAGTGTGGCCAACAGGACACAGCCAGTAAAGGATGGAACAGACAACAGGATGAGAACATGCAACGTATGGAGACCCATACAGTGTGGCCAATAGGACACAGCCCGTACAGAATGGAAAAGACAACAGGATGAGAACATGCAGCGTATGAAGTCCCATACCGTGTGGCCAACAGGACACAGCCCGTACAGGATGGAACAGACAACACGATGAGAACGTGCAACGTATGGAGTCCCATACAGTGTCGCCAACAGGACACAGCCCGTACAGGATGGAACAGACAACAGGATGAGAGTATGCAGCATATCGAGACCCATACAGTGTGGCCAATAGGACACAGCCCGTACAGAATGGAACAGACAACAGGATGTGAACATGCAACGTATGGAGACAAATCAGTGTGGCCAATAGGACACAGCCGGTACAGAATGGAACAGACAACAGGATGTTAACATGCAACGTATCGAGACCCATACAGTGTGGCCAATGGGACACAGCCGGTACAGGATGGAACAGACAACAGGATGTAATAAAGCACCACGTACCGGAGGACTAGTCAACGCTGATGGGAGAAGTGGCACCCCCTGAGGCAGCTACGGATGCTAGACCTCTACAGCCAGACCAGCACCAATGATAAAACAAAAGGGTACACCACACCAGGAAGCAAGTCAAATAGAGGTGTGTGAACAATAACCACACACCACAGAAAAGGACACAGAACAAAAACTCAATCACCGACACCATAGGCACTGCAAAATCCAAATAGGAGCAAAATATCAACTCACTGAGGACACCTAGCATGAGGCAAGCGAGCAAGCAACCTCCTGCCAATGTTCCACCGTGTAACAACAATTTGCCGGGCCGCGCTGGCCAGCGGACTGTAGGGTAGGGCTATTACACCTGGACCTCGAGACCAACGGGACCCTCGGGCGAAGGATAGCGGAACGGGCCAAGGCCGACCGAGCATAACGTACCTAGTGAAAGCAGGAGGGAAAAAATTGAATCATAGCGAAAAACGACCGTGAAAAACAATGTAGAACATCACGACTACAAGAAGCCTTACTAGTACCCCCCCCCCCCCCCCCCCCCCGCCCTGAAGGGTGTATATGACAAAAAGCCATGTGAAAGCCATGTGAAAACTAGAGAAAACATAAGAACATTAATAAAACAATGAGAAACTGTAAACAACTACAGAAGAAACACAAACCCATGCCAATCTGACCAACATGCATTTCTTGTGCATCTACGCCTAGTGTACGGGCCTGAAAGATGGAGCTGTTGTACACACGGGCCGGGAATGCCCGCTTCGGCCGCTCGGCAGCAGCTTCGTAGTGGAGGTCAAGGGTCGAAGACCGACGGATACAGATCAACTCCCCAGTGATCACACCTTTGCCCATACTACAGGGGTGGTTACTACCGGCAAGCATATACAGGAAACGATTGGTGAACTTGAAATGAGGCTTCACCACCATGTGTCCCTCACTACGGAAAACTGTGGTGTCCAGGAACTCAATGCTATCATGTGCCAGTTCATGCGTAATGTTGAGGGCCGAACACTCATTTATCCTATCTAGAGCATGCTGAACTTGACCTTCGCAACCATGCAAATCGCTGTTATCAGCAAAACGTGCCCGCATGCGTGCATTCAGCTAACGTGTACAACGCATACATCAGTGCAAGCATGAAGAAAAAAAAGCAGCGCAGCGCTGATATGATCACACGCATGATCAGTCAACGTAACCATACTAGACAGTGCTGCCAACTAACGGGGTCTGTTTTGCGTACCGTTTTTCGTATTTTGCAGTGTTTTTTCCGTACTGCCGGCATGCATGCCGTGTGCATGGCTTGTGTTGTGCTTTTTTGACACTCACATGCTTGTCGGTGGCTGAATTAGCTAGTGCAAAACATGTGTGATTTGTATCACGACATGATATTTTGTATCACATGTACTGTAAATGCAGAAATTTTCGGTGGTGTAATATTTTCGGTATTCTCCAAAATCGGCGGTTTGGCGGAGGGACATTTTCGGTAAACCCGCGTTCCAGGTAAGTGTACTAGTACTATACCGACATTTTCGGTGTGTTTTATTTTCGGTAAACATTTCGGCACCGAAGTTACCGAAAATAAAACACCACCGAAAGTCCCTGCTTTTACAGTAGTCGAAGCATGTCAAGCACTTGCTTTGGCACAGGGATTTTCATTGCTCAGCTCGCGCTTGCCATGTTTCTACATACATATCTGTAAGCTGATTGATCCTTCTCAATTTTCCGTGCCATTTTGCTCAAATTCCGTACTGCGGACGAAGGAGTGATTTTCCGCACAAATGCTGAAAAATACGGGAGGTTGGCAGCACTGCTTAGAGATAACAATAATAAATATGGTGACAGCAAAAGTCCACGTGCGAAAGAGCAGGCGCAACAAAGAAAAGTAAGCGCAGGACACACAGAAATTCAAATCGAAAGGAAATCGAAAGGAGGCTTGCGCCCTACGTCAAGGTGACAGCAAACCCCGTTAGGGAGACAGTCCTAGTACAACGTAGAAAAAAACTAGAAATACATAGAACGCAGTGGAGTTGCTGTGGAGAACGAGAATGAAAGCAACCAAGTAAGTACTAAGGAACTAATTTATTCTGTGGTATCCGACAAACACGCATAACAAGCACTGTATCGTAACAACGTACTTGTATCTCAAGGACAGTACTCACGTCGTATCGCAGACGTAACGACAGGCATTTTAATGTAAAACGACAACGTATTTGAACAGTCACAACATTAAATATCACACTCGTAAATCTTGCACACTCCCTCCTTAACAACATGACAACTGACACTCATAAATCTTGCACAGACACCCATAAATCTCGGTGGAGAGACAACCTCCTATACAAAAATACCTACCGATAGAGTTCTGTGTAGACCCCATGTGCACATATGTGTGGGTGAGCACTGGTAAACGGACAGCTAACCCTAGCCTATGTACAATACATGTAGAATGTAGACCCCATGCAAAACAATAAGTAAATAAAAACAATAGCAACACATGAGGGAACACTCTGAAATAGAATGTGTGTCGTTGTGATAACACCATTTACGAGTGTCGTTGTGATAACATCATTTACGAGTGTCGTTGTGATTACATCATTTACGAGTGCGTTGTTACGATACAGTGTTTGTCGGATAATAATATCAATAACAATACGCTGATATAATTAGTTGCATAGATAGTACTTACATTGTTGCTTGCATTCTCGCTCTCCACAGCAACTCCATTGCGTGCTGCATTCTATGTATTCCTATTACTTGGTCCGCGTCAGCAATATTGTCGCTTATCTTTCGACAATTTGAACTTAGACTTTGGACATGAACGCATGCACCTGAAGTGATAAAACTTGGTACGATGGACGGTAAGGTATAGAATGACAAATAGCTGCGAAGAATTTATTGTCCAAGGAAGGGTTCCTACTTTTTTCGGTCCTCCTCGTCGCTGCTCTCGGCGCTGGCAACAAATATTTTTGCTCGGGATCGACTCTCTTGCTTTTGCAAGCTCATCTCTCTTCCGCTCCGCTGCCTGGCTATTTTCTAAAGAGAAGTCAATCGTGACGGTCGCCTTCTCTAAAGGACTTCGCCTGGGCAGCACGACAGCCTGTGTGGTTCAAATCAGACGCCGTTCTTTGCAAGATTTTATTTTGAACGACGACGACGCCTACAGTACATGTACTTGCAAATCTCCACGACGCGCTGGATACTCCGAGCGAGGAACTGGAGGTAAGGGAGCTGCGATCTCAGCTTGATGAGCGATCCCTGAGGTGAGCGATCTCGGCCGTTCAGCAAAATGGAGCTGATTCCGAGTAGCCGATTACTTTCTTGTGGCTTGCGCTGCTCTTGCCTGCACAGCGTAACCAGATAATCTATTTTGATGCGGCGCTGTATCAATCAGAATCACCCACCTGTCGCTCTCGAAATCCACTCGAACTCTAGCTAGACCTTTCAGGTACTAGCAAACTAACTTGCTAACCAAAATTGGGATGAAATGGGCTGCCAAGTAAGCATTGGCGACATATAAACAAAGCTGAATGATAAGCGACAATATCGCTGACGCGGACCAAGTATGTACACTGACTCTCTCTCTCTGACAGGGTTTGCTGTCACCCTGTCGCTGGGCGCAAGAACCCTCTGACAGACTAAACCGATTCGCTTCATCTTAACTTAACTTTGTTTCTCCTACCTGGTCGCTTGGTGCACTGGTCTGTGTGAGCGATGGTAATGGTGGTTTGTGGAGTACAGTAGTGAAGAGGATTAGACAACTACTCATCCTTACCCAATCCCAAACGTCAGCACTCGGCGCTGCTCCGAACAAGGAGGAACACTGGAGAGATCGTCCACCAGCTACTCTCTCGTCCTGTGATCAAATCACCTGATGCTAAAACACAAGAAGATAGGAAAGGCAAGTAGAATAAGTGAATCAATAAATAAAAAACAACAATGCAAGTTTGAACATCTGCAAACGTCACGGACGATCCGAACAAGACCAATGATATACAGTGGGTATCGGTTATAGCGTGGTCGTGTAAAAACATATACTGCCTACAAGAATGAACTCTCATGTTTTAATAATCAGAACATGGATTTCAAGCGCACATTTATTCTTACAAGCAATTTATCCCATACCGTAAAAGCCTGTGTATAGGCCCACTCGAAAATACGCCCACCCTCCGTGTACACGCCCAGTCAGGGGAAGTCGACACTTTTGTTTCAAAATAGCGCCCAGGTATGCCGGCAACACCAGTACATGTACAGGTGCTGATACCCAATACACTGCTATCCCTATTCCAAGTATACGCCCGGTTCCAAAATAACGCCCGTGCCCTTGTATACGCCCAGGAAATCGAGGCTGCTATTCTATACGCCCGGGGCATATACACGGGCTTTTACGGTAGTAGAATATATCGGTCCTAAGAATGGGCTTTGTGTAGCAAAACATGCCAGATTAGTACAAAGTGTATCGCCTGTAGTAATAGCATCTGTCCAATTCCGTTCTGATCTGACTCTCGTTGTGTCGTAGTGCTGCAGATTCAACTGTTGTGGTCATGTAACTCATTTTGCATAGCCACATGGTAAGCCTATGGGACTATGACCAACCACATGCACAGAAGTACTGCGTTGCATGTAAGATGATCTTCCTGCCCTTGCGCACATGCATGTGATATGCCACACTTGATTTATCGTGTGTAAGAAATATCGGAAATAAGAATAGAAAGTCGTTTTTCAAACACCCACGCTATACCCGATACCTACTGTACCTAGAAATTCTAGAAGGCACTACTAGTAAACATCCATACCTGCTCAAACTGAAGAGGACAACGTAGAAGAGGGTACAAGAGGACACTACTAAAGTGTTCCTGTAATAGCTATTATTATAGCTAATATTCTAGGTTCAGCCCGGTCCCATAGCTAAGTGGTTAGAGCATTGCTCATGACAAGCAAGGTCCCGGGTTCGAGTCCTGGTGGGTCTGGCGATTTTTACCCTTTTCAGGCAGTTCACTTCCCCAACTGATCCTTTGAATTTGAAGTTCTCCCAATCCTGTCAAAAATGTATCACTCTCTTTCACTTCTGGTAGGGTCCAGAAACTGACCATGGTTGGTCCCCTGGGGGAGGGAGAAAGACCCAAGTGCCAGCAGTATGTGTGTCATGTGTTGTGAGCTGCCTTTGGAGTGAAAAACTTGTCAGCGCCTTCTAGTTTCAGCCCGGTCCCATAGCTCAGTGGTTAGAGCATTTCTCGTGACAAGCAAGGTCCCGGGTTCGAGTCCTGGTGGGTCTGGCGATTTTTTCTCTTTTCAGGCAGTTCACTTCCCTAACCTATCCTTTGAATTTTTATTTTTTTTATTTTTTTATGATCCTTTGAATTATTATTATTACAGTAAAACCTGTGACTAGCGACCACCCCTTGGTGCCCGGAAAAGTGGTCGTTAATGGCAGGTGGTCTTTAGTTAGAGGTTTGCACCGCGCGACCATATATGGATCCCATTATATGATATGTATGTCAAAATGCAGATAATACAATCCCCCACCACTTGCGCACTGACATTCTTCTTTCAGATCATACAACACTTGGAGAGAGAGAAAATCAAGTTTTTTATACACCGGAAGCGATACGACCTTTTGACACGTATGTCGACTCACTGGGTTTTCAGAGCAGCGCTGGCCTGGCCAGGCAGTGCACTAGTCACTATCGACTCCATCCTCATCTGTGTGCGACTACACTGGCAACTGGTATCAGTGTGTAGATCTACAGTGGAAACTCAGTCGCTCCGACTTGGATGTAGTGTAGCGTAAACTGTAATGGTGTGTACCAGTATGTGATGCGGCGATGTTGCGAGTTTTCGCACCTTTCACTGTAGACTATTATCCGCCATCGTATCCTGGCCTGTGTTCCGTACAGGTGAGTACATGCTAGCTAGCCAGCACAGACTGTCAGCGTGACCTGGTGTAGTGGTGAGTCTGGTGACTGAGCTGTGTGATTGCACTTCGACAGAGAGCCGCTCAGTCTTAGTTTCTCCTTCGAGTAGTAACATCGATCAAAGAGCGCTTTGGATGCGCTCTCCAAGACGTTTCCTATCATGTTTGTTCTTGACAGCACTTGAAATTATGACAGGTGTAGTGCAATCCACACTGATTCTACAGTAAAAATGAGACTGCGCTCATTTGTCCAGCTGTAGTATCGAAACGACCATGGAAAATCATCAAAATTTCGAGAAGGAGCTTCAAGCAATGTTTGATTTACTACATCGCGGTCGCTAGTTACGGGTCAAAATTCGACATTGGGACAAGAAAAGGCGGTCGCTGGTCGCGTTCAGCAGGTAGTCGCTAGTCACAGTGCATTTTGAATGTGAGACCGTCCGTGCCTGACAAAGTGGTCGGTAGTACCAGGCCGGTCGCTAGTCACGGTGGTCGTTAGTTACAGGTTTTACTGTATTATTATTTAACTCGGATGGTGAGCCAATTAAATGATTGTGAAAAGAAGGACAAAATGTTACAAGTTATGACTAACTGTCCACCAACGTAACCAGATCAGTTTTGTGCCATTTTGTTGCACGCGCTGACTGCATGAGATCTGGTTAAGTTGGTGGACAGTTAGTCATAACTCGTATCATTTTGTCCTTCTTCTTTTCACAATTATTATTGTTTATACAAAAGAGAAAGACCAAGGAACTACAAGTTACGCTATAATGTCCACTAACACCATCAGTTACTAAACAATCAGCTCATGCGATAACATTGCACGACACTGACCGACTGTACTGACGTTCTTCAACTAACTGGCTAACAGCTCTAGCACATCTTGGATGCGCACTCCAACAGCCTTCCAACTTGGAAGGTTCAAAGTTATAGAAATAACATGAGGGGAAGGTGAGCGCAACCAAGATAAGCACGAGCTGAAAGTCTCAGCTGTGAAGGACGTTGGCGGATGTTCATGCATGTCGATGATGATCCTGGCAAGACCATTGGACAATACGGTCAAACCACGATTCAAGAACGCAAAGCAACATTCCACACAACTTGTGTGGCTCAAAATGTGCGAAAATCAATAAAAGGGGAAGCTATGCGAACAAGGATCATGAAAAACCGAACGCCTCAGTAAAACAGCACTGTACTTCGACTATGACAATTTAGATGGACAATAAGCAGCGGTAACAAGTGTCATGACCCGGATCAGACTCGTCGTAAAAGCGACCACTCATTGAGTTCAGCAGCCAAAGCTAGACTCCGAAATATTCCTGAGTTCTGTAAGAACCATGATACGTCCTGCGAAGGATTTGGCACTTTCGTTAGTTGAGCAATCATGCCTTACAACTCGTGGCCTAGAGTCGCAAAGTGTTGTTGTACGTCGGCAACCCCTTCAGTACAAGTCGTCAGCATTGTACTCACTACACCGTTGAGCTTGAGGGGGCCACGCTTAGTCCCGCAAGGGAGCTGATACCTTTGTTAGTTGAGCAGGGAGTGGCGCCTCTTCTCGTGTTGTAAGACGCAAAGGGTCGACAGTACTTTGCGTACTCTAGACCCCAGGCCCGTTGGAGGGAACACGGCATTGCCGTCGGCTGCTATGTTTGGGGGGAAGAGCCCATATTGGGTGAACCGAAGGACGCAACTACGCTTTCCGCCTGTACTGCTGCAATGCATCCCAGCCACCGGATCGCGGACCAAGATCATGCCAGCATTTGGAGATCACTGATATTCACATTTGGGTGAGCGAGCTCCCCGTAATTATTGATCTTTGTACTATATTCTAGTTTGGCAGATTGCACATATTGCACCACTGTTTGTAATATAGAAATAATACGCATTCTTGCCGCTGTATACTTTTGATCACGTAAGGGGTGCAGCACTCCGCTGGTTTGAGAGCTATCTCCTGGGCCGGAGGCAGCGGGTCCGAATCGGAAGCACAGCCTCCGACTGACTTGACATCCCTGCAGGAGTCCCTCAGGGATCGGTACTCAGCCCGCTGCTATTCCTCGTATACACGATGGACCTACCAGCAGCTTGCAACTCCCAAGCCACACGAAGCAGCCTCTTCGCCGACGACACCGCCTTAATCGCTAGCGACCACTCAGCAGCGGCAGCAGAGCGAGCGCTCCAGTCCAGTGTGACTAAAGCCGCTAAATGGCTCGACACCTGGCACCTGACCGTCAACGAAACGAAGACGGTTGTGATGACACTGTGCGGTGCTTTCCCCCTGACAATAACATTGAAAGGCAAAACACTGAACAGAGTCCAGTGCCAGCGACACCTGGGTATCATCGTTCAGGCCGACCTGAAGTGGTATGCCCACATCCAGCACATCGAGAGCAAAGTTGCGCGCACTCTCCATCTCTTGAGACGGATTCGTGGACGTCTTTCACCCACCGCCCTGTCAGCACTGTACACCACGTATATACGCCCCGTTATCGAATATGGTTCTCTGGCTATGTCAGCTATGAATGTTCTGCAACAAGATGCCCTCGATCGTCTCCAACGACGGTCAGCAAAACTCTGCCTCCGACACCCCTCTTCAGTCCTTGCCACCACAGTTCGTTACTCCACCACGTCACTTGGCCTACCCTCTCATCCCGCAGGAAGCTCAAGCAGCTACTCTTTGCACACACCATTGCTGTCAAACGATCCCCGCCACACATCCAGCTTGCGACCTCAGGCTACATCACCGAGCCACCAAGCCGAGAATTGAGGCGTCATCGAGTCTTTGCCCTCCCCACCACCCACTCCACCCGCCTTCAACGTTCACCCTTGTACTCAGCATGCACTCAGTACAACCACCTGCCACCACACTGTTACTCCCACCGAGAAATAAATGCATTCAAAAGAGAAGTTACCCCGATCATAGTATCATCTATTTGCACATGCTCCAACCCTCGCTGTAGCCCAGCCTAGGTATAGTATTTTAATCAAGGTATATCGCCTACCTGCCCTCGCAATGGATATACTTTCCTCCTCGTCTTTACTTAAATGAAGCACCCAAACCACGGCTGCCACTAGCCACTGTTTCTCCCGGTTTATTGCATTCACTCTGATTGATAACACAAAGTACTGTCTCTCTCTTATTGCCTACGGCCACCGTGAGAATAAAGATAATAATAATAATAATTTGGAAAGGATTGGGAGAACTTCAAATTCAAAGGATCAGTCGGGGAAGTGAACTGCCTGAAAAGAGAAATAAAACGCCAGACCCACCAGGATTCGAACCTGGGACCCTGCTTGTCATGAGCAATGCTCTAACCACTGAGCTATGGGACCAGGCTCAGTGGTTCAGCCTGGTCCCATAGCTCAGTGGTTAGAGCATTGCTCATGACAAGCAGGGTCCCAGGTTCGAATCCTGGTGGGTCTGGCGTTTTTTCTCTTTTCAGGCAGTTCACTTCCCCGACTGATCCTTTGAATAATAATAATAATAATAATTTTACAAGAAGTCGGAGGCGGATAATACTTTAATAACGAAGGTACGTGTTGGATCGTAAGTATCCACGCAAACACACATCCAGTCAAAATAAGGCACTGGTCAAAGTATTCGAACGTTTTCGGTCCCTTCTCATCAAGGATTATACAGGGAATGGCTCAAGTTGGAAAGACTAAAACTTATATAGCGTAAAGATATGAGATAACAACACTCGTGACAAGGTGGAAAATTGTCAAGTTCAGCACGACACAAAACTCGAAGGAAATAATTATAGTGACAAGAACATAGTGAGCAAATTAGGTTACATTGTTAACACCTCGACGAGGAGTAACACCAAACAATTGTAGCGACAACACATTTTCTTTCTGTACGCAAAGTTCAGGATCTAACTTACGGATATACAAAGCCTCTAACACAGCCAGATGCAACGCACATCTACCACGTGACAATATTGAGAACACATTATCACTGTACAACTCACGACAATTGGTACGGGCTGACAGATGTTGCTTGATGGACGAAGTGCGATTCTTAGCTCCGTTGGGTGTTGTCTCCTCCAATGTCCCGTCATCTCGCCTCTTCGCGGCATCACCACTATCCGTCTCTTTGCTTTTTCGCGGCCTTCCACGTTTTCTGACACTAGCCGTTGTGTGCGCGATGCCCAGTGTCCTTTCAGCTACGTCTCCTCCATTGCGGATTTCTATTGATCTTCTTACTCCAACTTGTCCGGTGTTCGATATTGAGGTTCGTTTTCGCGGTCTACCACGTTTTCGAATATTGACTGTTGTTGTCACTTCTGTTGTCGTTGTACGTGCGTCCTCACCAGTCCGTATTTTTACTTGGCTTCGCGTAACCCTTCCCGACGCAGACAGATCCTTTGTCAATTTCGGTGGTTTACGTGTCGGTCTTTCACCATCCTTCTCGCTGTTCTCAGCTGGACCCTGCCCTACACACGCGGAGGAGGACGGGCATGCAGTCACATCTTTACAGGAAGAGGAAGATCCACCGATGGACTGGACAGCACATTTTGGAGGACGACCACGGCGAGGACGACACTCACGCGCATCAAGCGGAACAAAACTTAACGGCACATGTTGACGAATGCACGCGTGTATATCCGTAAGTTAGATCCTGAACTTTGCGTACAGAAAGAAAATGTGTTGTCGCTACAAGTGTTTGGTGTTACTCCTCGTCGAGGTGTTAACAATGTAACTTAATTTGCTCACTATGTTCTTGTCACTATTATTATTTCCTTCGAGTTTTGTGTCGTGCTGAACTTGATAATTTTCCACCTTGTCACGAGTGTTGTTATCTCATATCTTTACGCTATATAAGTTTTAGTCTTTCCAACTTGAACTTGATGAGAAGGGACCGAAAACGTTCGGATACTTTGACAAGTGCCTTATTTTGACTGGATGTGTGTTTGCGTGGATACTTACGATCCAACACGTACCTTCGTTATTAAAATAAAAATAATAATAAAAATGTAATCAACGCAATAAATAGAGTAAGCTGCGCACTCAGTACAAACACCATAAGCAAAACTTGTTTTCATGTAAATAAAGAAGCTTGTTCCTAAACGTTTTCGTCGCCATCTCATCAGAGGATTACTGGCAAATCAACAAAAGCTCTTAACTCAATATATATACGCACAATGCAAGTAATAATTTAGACCCTAACTAGCGCGATAAAATGAGAGCTGAAAGAAACATTACACCATTCAATAATAAAAATAATAATAATAATGTAGCATATATAAGGAGCTGTTTTGCTAACATTCATCCTCGATCCGGGGAGCTCACTACTCTCTCGATTCTCGACTCTCGGGGAGCTCACTACTCCTTCGATTCACTCTCGATTCTGGGAGAGTCACTCCGACTCTCTCCTGTTTTGGCCTTTGACTCTTCACGCTTGATCTTTTGATCCGTAGCATTGCAATGATTCAATAAACACTGTTCAAGTGGAATTAGAAACCTGTCAATCTGTGTAAGCTAGCTAACTTGGATGGCGACTATATTGGTCGTCTACCTGGGGAGCCACTAGACTGATCTAAGCCAAGTCACAAACTCGCCAACGCGCGGCAATGACACAAGCAGCAGTTTCACACAACGATCGTTTCGCCGTACAGATAACGACGGCTCATCAGGTGTGCAGGAATAGACTCAGATGGAGAGCCAAGGTTTAATTTATACAAAAGAGAAAGACCAAGGAACTACAAGTTACGCTATACTGTCCACTAACACCACCAGTTACTAAACAATCAGCTCATGCGATAACATTGCACGACACTGACCGACTGTACTGACGTTCTACAACTAACTGGCTAACATCTCTAGCACATTTTGGATGCACACTTCAACAGCCTTCCAACTTGGAAGGTTCTAAGTTATAGAAATAACATAAGGAGGGGAAGGTGAGCTCAACCAAGATAAGCACGAGCTGAAAGTCTCAGCTGTGAAGGACGTTGGCGGATGTTCATGCATGTCGATGACGATACTGGCAAGACCATTGGACTATACGGTCAAACCACGATTCAAGAACGCAAATTGTTATTATTATTTTGAAAGGATTGGGAGAACTTCAATATTCAAAGGATCACTTGAGGAAATGGACTACCTGAAAAGAGAAAAACATCGCCAGACCCACCAAGACTCGAACACGGGACCTTGCTTGTCATGAGCAATGCTCTAACCACTGAAAAATGGGACCAGGCTGAACCTAGAAGGCGCTTTCTAGGTTCAGCCTGGTTCCTTAGATTAGTGGAGAGAGAGAGAGAGAGAGAGAGAGAGAGTGAGAGAGAGAGAGAGAAAGAGAGAGAGAGAAAGAGAGAGAGAGGAATTCATTTTATCTGCAGAAAAGGTGGGTGGGTCGGGGCTGAAAAATACTGAAACCTTTCGTTCAGTAAAAACAATCAGTAACCCCGGACGGCCCCTTAGTATTTTTAATTTAGGGCTGAAACGATCATGGATTTTCAAGTATCAGTTACTCTTTAACTTAGCGATCGATTAATCGATTATAATTGTTAGCAAATAGTGTCAGAATGTTTTCCAAAACTTACTCTGTTTCCAAAAGCTAGGCCTTCATAATACCAAAAAATTGCAGTAGTCACAGGGTAGCTCAGAAACATGGCTGTTATGAAGTCAATTTAACCTCAGAATACGCACCATGCCCTTGGCAACTGCATATTCACAGTGGAAACTGATTTAAACTTCACAAAACAAGGGTTTTCACTTTTCGGTACTTTCTGGACTCAAAATCCTTAACGAGTATCGTATTATCTCTAATATAAGCACAGTCTCCAATAATAGCACGTCTCCAATAATAGAACACCCTGGGTTAGGCATTCGAAAAATAAAGTGCTCAGTCTCCATTATAAGCACACTGTGTAAATTCATTATCTGTACCGGCGAAACCCCCCTGAAATGTGTGTGTCTGACATGAATTTGGCATGGCAACATGCCTCTGAAATAAGGTTGAAATAATAATGGAACAGTCTCCAATAAAGGAACGTCTCCATTAATAGCATGGGGCGGAGGTACATTGAAAAAATAAAGGACCGTGCTTATATTAGAGAGATGAAGTTAAGGCTAAATCAAAATTTCACCAGTTGTAGTCTTCGGGGTGCTGAGTCGAATGGTCTTCGTCCGAGGAAGCTGAGACGCTCCCTTCCTACTTTAATCCCAATCGAACTCGCGCACTTCCACCGAAACTGGGTGACTGCGCCCTACTAGATGGGGGTTTGTATGCAAAATGTCACTAAAAGCGCCATTTCGTTCTTATAAAAGCACGGATGACCGCGATAGGCCCATATGTTGTAGTCTTTCGGACGCTGAGTCGACTGGTTTTGGTCCGAAAAGGCTGCGATGCAGCATTCGGCCCTTATTCCCAATCCAACATGCTTGAACAAGCGGTCATGTGCTCCTGCGTACACCAGTCACCTGGTCACCGTGCCTGCAGGGTACAACTTACAGCCTGTTTGCCCTTTTTGGGTGCAGTCCTGTCACTCGAGTTGAACTTGAGTTGAATCTTGGTGTGAAAGTTGTCGCCTGCTGGCGCTGTGACCAGGTGACTTGGGCACGCAAGAGCACGTGACCGCTTGTTCAACCATGTTCGATCGGGAAATTTGAGCGTTAACTTCCCCTTTAACGTAACGATCACTTGATTGATAAGGAATTATCGATCGCTTACCGAGTAATTGGTATAGTCGTTTCAGCCTTAATTTTATTTTACAATGCTGCAGGTGTGTACCACCGTGTTCTATAGCAAAGCGCTGGATACCGCCAACAGGCGACATGTTGCAGTCAAAGATGACATTTCAAACGAGGCTTACCTTGCATTGCGTTTCTTCAGCAAGCTTGGTGGATCGGCCACTTTGGAGGAGGCCACCTGATAAGTCTGTCACCATCACAGACTTGAGTATGGTGTATACCTGCACATACTGCAATTTCGACTGCTGGAGCTCGGATAGCCAGTAGTTGCTGGATGGCTCGGCGAAGGACTTTGCAAATGCCTAAGTTACAGTTGATGGTGTTCACAAAGTGCTCGCGCAGCATCGCAGCACGACAACACAACGCTCATACCAGTTGCTGATGCGTGCATTTAGCATCTATGCATGGCGATTGCTGGCAGACCACCTTCATGGCAGTAAGCATCACCACATGTCAACAGACACCAGGGTCGTCACACACAGTGTCACCACAACCAACCTCACCATTGGAATGCTGCTTTGCCCAGCTAGACTGACTGAAGAGAGAAAAGCTGAATGCCTTGCTAGTGGCAGTAGAAGCTGTGTTGTCAATAAGTTCAGTACGAACAGTACATCCGAGTGGCTCGCCAATCAGACTCACGAGCAGCAGAAGCAGCTTTTTGCCAGTGCAATGAGCGGTGATGTGTCCCACAAGTCTCTTTACAGGCAGCGCCGCGAAGAAATTCGCCAGTTCCAGCAGCAGCAAGTACAACAGAAAGAGAAGGAACAGCTGGACCGGGGAGGCCAACAACCAGCAAGAGAAGCTGATGGTCAGTACGGAGATCGGCAGAATCGGCCATTGGACGACTGCCGCCACTATCACCACGCAGCTCGTCAGTCTACCGACAGTCTCTGCACTGAAACACAAATCCTGTTCCGACGGATCGTGCTCAACTAGGACACGGACAAACCTTTGTTCCAGTGGTCCGAGTATGCCAGAAAGGTGCCAGTACAGCTGTCAGCAACTGGCGCAGGATCTGCTTGCCTTGATCCAGAGTCATGGGTGCTCGCTCGGAATCCTGGGTGAGTTTGCTAATGGTTGTTGTTCATGTTTTGATCTTCGCATTTCGTCATTTTAGCTTCACTTTTAAATTTTCTTCATGTTCGACAATCATAGCAGACGCGTGACCTTCTCTTCGCTTACATTACTATCTAGTTCAAATAAATTCGTTGCCTTTCGGCTAATTCACTACCGTCACATTACCCACTACGAGTACTCTGAAGCCGGGGAAAGGAAAAGAGCAAATGGTTCCAGACCTATCCTCCTTTGCCTTCGACGGCAGACAAGTGTTTTCCACTTTTTTGAACAGGAGAACGGAGCGCGAGCGCGCGGCATCGATGCATCGCGCATGCATCGATCATCCCACGCCATTCATTTTCATTCCGTCGACCGTCGCGTCGTAATTCTACGATCGTGATTCGTGTCCGGTCCATGAGCAGATATGCCCATGCCATGGCCCGCGCGTGCACGGTACGCGGCCATGCAAAATAATTCCTTCATGACTCGTGATCGTTGCCGGGGCCATGGCCAATAGGCGATCTTCCCGCCGCGGGCATAATCAGGCCATCAGGACCGTTTGACGTCATTTCGGGAGTTTCAGGACCGTTTGACGTCATTTCGGGAATGTTCGGACCGTTTGACGTCATTTCGGGAATAATTTTTCGACCTTTCGACCTTTGACCTTCCCTAATATGTTGCTTCGCGATGTAAGAAATCAAATCAAGCACGCGCACGCTCTGTCTAGTCTGTCATGATGGCTGAATCTTGCCCTTGCCTGCAGCCCTCGGGCCTACGGCCCTTGGGCTGTAGTGTAGGCTCGGGCAAGATTCAGCCATCATGACCTCCTGAGCATGCTTGATTACATACATCAAGCCCCTTTGCCACTTTGTACGGTAGAGGTCAAAAGTTCAATCCTGTGAGCAAGAGTCCATGGATTCTTGTTACCAGGGTTAGAATCTCGATCTGTGTGTGATCTACGGCCCGGAGATCTACATGTACCGGTACTTGTACTTGTACGGAGGTCCGTCCTTTCCCTTCTTCTTCTACGCGATTCAAGAGAAGTGTCTCTAAGAGCCGTTGAGAAAGAAAATTGGTTCCCAGCTATTCCTGAGCTAACCGCATATGACTGTGTGTAGTGTTGGGAGAACAAGGCCGCGAGTAGTGTTGGAAATGCGAATCCCATCTCCTCGGGCAGGTCAACTTCCAGGCAGGATGTTGACAAGGGAGCTCCGAGGCTTGGTAAGTTCCACTACTATGTGTGTAGGTTTCATCCACTGATTTCTCACTACAGCTAGCTTTTTTTAGACTCTTTGCCTCATCCTTATGGATTTTAACCTCACTAAGATGTATGGCGTCCCCACAAACGAACCAATTAGCGAATATATACCCAGCAAGAAATTTAACATCGCGGTTTGCTGCTGAAATGAGAGCAAACTCTCTCGCCATTCTTAGGCATTGCCGATCCCTGACTCGGAAAAAGTAAGTTGCAACATACATTTATTGTAATTGCGATTCATTCTCATGCCAAGGTGGAACGATGACAGGGTAGATTGAGTCGGGGGTGCGGGCGTGCATATATTCGATATTTCTGAGCAGCCAAAGTTGTACAGCTTTGCTGCTTCGAAATGAAACTAGACCGCTTAGTCAAGTATCTTATAGGCGCTTCACACTCACGTCTTTATTCGCGTCTTCGTGCCTTTGTTCATACCTTCACCTTCACCATGACGAAAACGTTTGATAATGAGGCCGAGGCTTGCCTGTTGCGGATTTGGTGCCAGATTTACGCTTCCAATGACAAGGTCGTTCGATCGGGAAGCAATTGCCCAAGGCCGCGCCACAAAAGCAAAGGGAAGAGCCGAAGCACACGTGCTTCCATCGCAGGGCATAATGTTCTTCAACTACAAAAGGGAAATAACGAGGACCACAAAACTAAAACTGAGAACTGTTTGGTCTTCCTCGAGGCTGGCTGGTACATGGTGTGGAAACTACAGAACTGCCCAAATTGTTATATATTTTGAATCTACTCGCATGCCGTTATTTTTTTGCCCATGGACTGCTAAAAATGTTGCTGATTGTTGGGAAAACGATGTGTTCGATTTGTGTGTGAATCGACTTGTGCAGCAAGTCGACGTTTTGGCTGAAAACGACGTCACATAAAGACGCGAGTGTGAAACGGCTATTACTGGTCTTGTCATGGTCCAGAAAAAGTCGAGATTTGTTGTCATTGTGGGACTTTGCTTGTATTCATATTCGCTTCGCTTCCCACGCATTCCCCTCATCGATCCCTCCTTAGACTAGAACCTGCCAGGTTGGAAGGCTGTTGTTTAGGGCTGGGTTCCACTGACTCTCCATGGCTCCGCTGCTCGCGACACTTGGCTGCATGTAGCTGAGCATCGCGGTTCCACTACACTCGCCATTCGCGGTACCGCTGTCGTACTGGACATTTTTAAGTGGCGTTTTACCTTCCTCCATTCGCGAAATCGAGAAAAAACCCTCGTGTTCTGCCCTGCACAACGAACTAAGAGTCAATGCCTTTAACGTCCAAACATCACCGGGCATGGCCAAATTTCCGACTTCGCTCATCAAAGTTGGCTCCTTTTATCCCTGAGTGGACCTTGTTCGCACACTATGACAGTTTGGTCAAGAGACCCTTAGTTCCTTCGACTTAAAACCGACTAAAATACGCACTGAAACAGGGTACAATAACGAGGGGTTACTGCTGCTCACAACAACGGCAGCGCAGCCAAACCAACTATGTTCACACACCGATCCAAGTTACCTAGTAATGTTTAGTCATCTAAACTTCGATTGGTGACTTGCTGAGTCCGTCGAACGAATCAATCAATTCAGCCTCTTTAATGGCGGCCATGACGAAGGCCATCTTCAAGGGCCAGTAGCAGCGGGGTTACGTCAAAAATTGGCGGTAGACCACTATCATAGTCTGCTACAACATGTCCATAAGAGCAAACAAGTGGTCTTGAATAAAGTTATCCACTAAAAAACACTTGCGGAAATATTCAAATTTCGAACTGTCCAACGGCCATGCACCAGCCGAATCCAACCTCGTAGCAGGAGAGGACACACACAGAGCGTCCCCACATGCCTTTTCACTATGCTACCGGCACTGAGATATTAAGGGCATAAACCCTTCCCTAGCAGAAACTCAAATGAAGCTGTTACGAAGCGTCACTTGCTGAACAGCAGCCCACCATGACGAGAAAGAGGAGCTGCTCCACAACACCAAATCAGCGAGGACTGTAACAGTAGTGCAAGATGGCCCAGATTGGGCCAGAACGATCTCTTGTGCTGGGCAGCTACTGCCCGTGAGTTTCACATGCGTGCCACGCTCCCATCAAAAAAATCAAAAATTCTCTCAGTTTGCTATGAGCTGAAGTACTTCCGGTGCATGCGCGGTTACTGTACTTACATCATACATTTTCAGGTACCGGAGGGCCGCGGCTGTGCCCCAAAGAGAATTTTTTTTCAATACAGCCAACCTCGTTAGGACGAACACTGATGAGGCGAACTTTCCATTAGTACCAACTAGGGCCAATCCTATGGTTGGCTAGGCATCATATCAAGTCAAAATTGTTCATTTACGACGAACTCCTGTATGGCGAACTTTCGTGAAGAGGAACTATTTTCAAGTGTGATTTGAATAAAATCAGCGCGTAGTACGAATTTTGGGTGTGTGCACGTGCACTGGCTGTCTTTTTTCTTCTTCTTTTTCCATTGCCGAGTCCATACATTGATTGTACGTACATACATATACATATACATGTAGATCTACGTAGTGAATCGTAGTAGACGCACTCATACGAGGTACGTGCTTTCTAGGCATAGTAGTTTCAGCGTGCTAGCGTACACTGTTCGCGTCGTTGATCGCGCTTCAGGCGAAGGTGACTTTTATTCCGTTGATGTTTGCAACAACGATGTTGTCCCTGCCAGTACCAGTGTTCGAGGTGAGTGGTGAAGTGAGCTGTGAAGAGATTCGTGAAGTGTTTTGTGAAGCAAAGAGCGTTTATCCGTAGAGGGTAGTGGCGTTCCTACGGATGTGGAAAACTTGGCCTCCACTGGCTCCGACCGAGTTTCACACGAACTGAGAGTTTTTTTGTGAAGTATGAAACTCGGATGTTGAGGTGTTGTGCTTCACACTTGTAATCACTCATATTCATTGTTCGATCCATGATGTATTTGTTTGTATATGGAGGCACAGTCACATTGTACTTACCGATTTCTGGCTTACGCTCAGAAAAAATGCTTCCCATGTACCACAGTATGCACCTTCATGTAAATACACTCCATATGAAATGCATATTGATTTTTTTGTCAGATCTGGATAAGAAGAACTCCCGATAAGACAAACAAAATGTGTTCAGTCCCTTGAAGTTCGTCCTAACGAGGTTTGACTGTACTTGATTTTCCAACTGCAATGAGTATGCAATGCAAACCTGACATCCTTGAGTGCCCAACTGCTACTGTGACGTCGAGATTTATACTTGTGCGAAGAGGCATCGATGCACACGTGAAACTCGCATTCCCTGCCTGCCCGGCGAATTCGGGCCACCTTGTGCTACTGTTGCACTCTTTGCTGATTTGTTGTTGGGAGGACTTCTTCTCTCTCGTCATGTTGGGCTGTTTTTCAGCAAGTGACGCTTCGTTGCGGCTTGGTTCGAGTTTCTGTGAGGGCAGGGATTATTCCCATGATGGCTCAGTGCTGGTAGCGTAGCTAAAAGGTACATGGAGGCTTTCCTGTGTACTTCCTGCCATGAGGTTGGATTCGGCTAGTGCATGGTCGTTGTAGAGTTCGAAATTTGAACATTTCCCCAAGTGTTTTTCAGGGGATAACTTTATTCAAGACCACTTGTTGGCCCTTGGAGACATGTTGTAGCAGACTATGGTAGTGGTCTACCCCCAATTTTAGGACATCACCTCGCTGCTACTGGCCCTTGAAGATGACCTTCTTAATGGCCGACATCAGACAGGCTGAATTGATCGATTCGTACAAGGGACTAAGTTGCCAGTCAAAATTTGGATGGCTAAACATTACTAGGAGTAATATCTATAAAGCCGGTTCTGGGCCCGGTACATGACGTTTCCGGAAAATGGGGTGTTATTGATAATAACCCACTTTGTATTATAGGGCCGCCCGGGTTTTTATGAAAAAATGGGGGTTGGCTATGATCGGTGGGGTGCACCGGTACCGTGAGACCCCATGATTGTACCATAGATGAATGTACGTGAACATTTCCCGGGGTGGGAAGTCAGTTTGTACGTAAATTTTTTTCTAAAAACTTTGCTGAAGCACAACGTGGTGGCCAGGAGCAGTCCATGCGCCAGATTAAAAAAAGTCATCTAAAAGGTGGCTTTTCATTTTCCGCACTGGTCAGTTTGTAGGTACATTTTGAGCCACATTCTCAATGGTGGGCAATTTTTGAAAATGATTTTGTGTCTATGGCTCGTTTGTTTTGGCATTTCGCTACCATTTGGCATAACTCAGCCCTATGAACACGTCACAAGGCCCTCGTTAGTGTCCAGTATTTACAAAAAAATGGACTGGACCTGAAACTAACTCATACTTGAGTGTACAGGCAGTACTGTGCAGTATTCACATACCGAAATTCCGCGCATATAAGCCCACAGGCCTACATCCGGATATAAGCTCACCTCTGTTTATAAGCCCATGAGCAAATAAACAGACACAAATGCAACTCGTGTGTCAAGTAGAATTTCTCACAATATGGACTCTTCCTACCATGGTACAGCAGGTCAGTGCAGTTTACCAGTCGAGTATGGTCACACTATGGCCACGGACTTTTTCGTGAACCTTCAAAATTCGAATATTGCCCCATGGGCTATAAGATGAAAATGTTTTACTGGATATTTTATCCCCAAACTGCATTATTTCACATACATGTATATGCCCATGGGCTTATATGAGCGGAATTACGGTAATGACTGTATGCAACGACTCTCGTGTGCTACACGACAAGTACCCGCTGCAGAATAACATAATGATATTCACACCATATGCCATGGTGGTGCACCGCGATACCAATCACAGCATATTTATCGGTGATCAGCTGCCTACTGGGTCGTTCCGTTGCCGAGAACGTCACCGGTGCGGCCTGTGGAATGACCCGCGGCACCGGCAACCACCCCTCACACAACGCCAAACACTCATCTTGAACAAACACAGTGCATTCCACATATGGATAGAGATGGCAATAGCACATGTATAACTGTACTTGTATGCCAGTCTTAGAGTAACAAAACAAGAAACATGGAAGTTATCGGGCATACCATCACAGTTGGCAGATATATGTATAGAATTCTCCTGGTGCGCAGAATGATGCTGGCGGTGTTGCTGATATCAACTGTTCGCTTGCCGTCGTCAGTGTCAATCGCAGTACTACTAGTAGTTGACTATCTCACGTCTAATTCATTTTATAGTCTGCATGACTTGGATCATAACGCCATAGTTATCCACACAAGAATGGTAATAAATCCACATTACTAAGGCCTTCTTCATTACAGTTGGCGCAATAGGTTAACGGGATCGCATCTTTAGCGTCTCCGATCTCCACACTGTAATTATAGCTGGCTAGGCTGTTGTTTATTGGCAGACAAGATTTGCGATGCTTCTTCAAATAGCCAGTTTATCGATGTCGGTCCATGGCATATTCAGCATTGCTGTGTGTGGAAGGAAAGGTGCAACATTAGATTGCTGCTGGCCATAGACATCAAACTGAAAAATCTGGGCTTCAGCTGTCACACGTCCATTGACAGAGAGACGGCCGCATACCGCACATACTGTAAACTACTGACTTCATGCCATTGCCTCTTGGATCAGAAGTCACCACACTGAAAGAAGAACAGCAGAGGAAAACAGAACTGATGCAGTTAACCGGCAGCAACAAATTTGCTCCTTCATTTCATTCGACAAACTTGATAGTCGTGCAATGCAAGAATAAAGTCAGAGAGCAGGAGAGCTAATGCACCAGTGCTGTGGTGCCTATAATAATGTTAGTGGTCGCACTTGGTATCATGATCAGCTCTCGACATCGCGGCCATCTTGCTTTTGACTGCATGCGCGACGGGTGCTCTTTTGGATCACGTGCGTGGTTCTCAATGCATTTTTTGCATACAGAAACTGTACAAGCGCTACAAAGCTACGATCAAAACCTGCAGATTTCTGTGAACAGAGTTTCTTCTTCACTGGCACCGTTCTTGTTTTGACACGGCGATGTTCTCTTTCCCGTTCTCCTTTCAAAATAGACTTCCATTTAGTTGTAAGTCACAGCTGCAAATTTACTGGTAAGTGGAGGTCTAAGTCTTGCGCGCAAGTATTCCCGCTTTGAATTCGCGTGTATCAGAACAACGACCGTGGGAATCATGCGAGTGGAATATTTCCCAGGAGAAAGAGGTTCTGTTTGCAAAGCTGCTTCGATCCGCAAGGAGTATTCCAGCAATGAGTACACCTGGTGCTACGGAAAGCGATCCTATCGGGACTTACTGACGGTATGGTTGATTTGTTTCATCTCACTCGTATCGGTACTGTTCGTACTGCACGGACTGCATTTGTATCATACTGTCCTATCCTATATCATGTTATCCTTTCACCCATTCACGGCATAGTCCTTCCCCTGTCTGTCGCCATGCATAGACGGTACGTGACCTCTCACTACGCCCGTGCTACGCACGATACCATGCTCTGCTGGGCATGGCCTCCCTGACTCTTCACTATATCTACACTCATCTGTCTGTAAAATAAACCACTTCCTTATGTCAGTACATGACACAACATGGTGTCAGAAGTTAGTCAACCAGGTCTACACTTCGAGTAGAAATGGCCAAGTTCGCGCCGCCTGCAGACTTTGATTTCTCCATTCCAGATGCCTGGCCGGCTTGGAAACGCCGGTTTGCGAGATATCGCCTCGCCTCAGAGCTCAACGCGAAAGACGAGAAAGTGCAAATCTCTACGTTGCTCTACTCACTGGGCCCAGAGGCCGAAACTGTCTTCGATCAACTGGTATTCGGCACCGTTGGAGACGAGGACAATTATGACAAGGTCATGACGAAGCTGGACGCTTACTTTACGCCAGCATTGAACGTGTTTCACCAGAGGACCATTTTCGAACAGTGCGTCCATCTTCCAGGAGAGTCAGTGGAAGAATTTGTTCGGAAACTTCACGCAGCAGCGAAGTTCTGTGACTTTGGTGACCAGAAGGACAACAGAATTCGAGATCGCCTCGTGGCTCACATTCTGGATCGTCAAGTCGCCAAGGAGCTGCAGCTGATTGAGCCCGCAAAACTCATCCTCACGGACGCAGTTCTCAGGGACAGGCAGGCCGAGAAAATTTCCGGAGACGTTGCAGCGCAAGCCGCCAGGCCGCAGGTCAATGCTGCATCCCGCTTTGGAGGAAAGCAGCAAGATGCAAAGGAGTCCCTGCCAGCGCAGCGGCGTTCCATCGAAGCCTGCACCAACGCCGTCCACGCAGAGGAAGAGCGGCACTGCAGCTTCAACATGTCCGTGTTGTGGCCACGCTGGTTCGCACAAGAGCAACCGTTCTGCGTGTCCTGCGTTTGGTCGCAAGTGTAATTCATGCGGCAAGCAGGGCCACTTCGCCGCCGTCTGTCTTTCCACTCCAGCAACCACGCGTGGTGCCAGAGCTGTCGAAAAATGAATCGCTCGCGTCCCCGTCGCCATTCATGGGTGGTGTTGCAGAGCTGTCATCTAACGCCAGTCCTTCCCAGTCCACCGACGCCTGGTCAGTAAGTCTGCCTGTGTGCTCGACAATTTTGATATTCAAGATCGACACAGGTGCAGATATATCATGTATCACGCACTCCACGTATCAGAATCTGGTACAACGCCCTGTACTCACACCATCCACTACCAAACTCCTTGGTCCATCTGGTGCACCTCTATCCATCAAGGGTCAGTTCACTGCAGACACCATGCACAAGAGTGAACTGTTCTCTATGGAGATCGTAGTTATAGATGGTCCTGGATCTACCAACCTGTTGAGTCGCAGAGACTGCCTCCGACTTCGCCTGATCCAGCGTTTAGATGCAGCAGAATCGTGTACCAGCAAGCCAGCACAGCCCATCGGTTGTATGGTTGGGCCCCCAGCTGATATCAAGCTCGTGGACGACGCCACGCTGTACCACTGTGGTGTTGCCCGCCGTGTGCCTCTGCCTCTACAGGACAAGGTCACAGAAGAGCTCGCACGTATGGAGAAAATGGGCATCATCGTCCGGGAAACGGGTCCCTCTAACTGGTGCTCTCCTATGGTGCCGGTTCGTAAACCTAATGGTCGCGTACGGATCTGCGTAGACCTAAAGAAGCTGAACGGCAACGTGAAGCGCGAGCACTTCCCTCTTCCGACAGTTGAGGACACACTGGCTAGGCTCGCCGGATCTACTGTCTTTTCCACGCTGGATGCCAACAGCAGCTTCTGGCAAGTGCCTCTCACGGAGTCTGCATCCAAGCTGACCACGTTCATCACACCTGTGGGTCGGTTCCGATTCCTCCGGATGCCATTCGGTATAACCTCTGCACCGAAAATCTTCCAGCGACGCCTGCAGGATTTCCTGTCCCACGTCAAAGGTTCTGAGGTATTCACGGACGACGTTCTGGTCCACGCCGCTAACGAAGCTGAACACGGCCACCGGCTGGACACAACGCGCTAGGTCCTTGCCGACGCAGGCATCACTCTAAACCCAGACAAATGCCACCTCAAGCAGTCGTCAGTCAAGTACCTGGGACACAACGTCAGCGGGTCCGGTGTGAAACCCGACCCCAGCAAAGTCTCCGCCATTGATGACCTCAAAGAGCCTACGAATGTTCCTGAGCTCCGCAGTGCCTTTGGTCTCTTCACCTACGTTGCCAAATTCATCCCAGAATTGGCCACGACCTCAGCGCCCTTCCGTCACCTCCTGCACACCGACACTGATTGGTTCTAGGACTCCCCGCAGCAGGACGCATTCCGTCGGCTGAAAGAGCTCGTCGTTTCAGCCCCGTGCTTAGTGCACTATGACCTCAAGCGTCCCATCATGGTCAGTGCCGATGCCAGCAGCTATGGCATTGGTGGTGTTCTGCTCCAGAAGCACGATTGCGACTGGCACCCAGTGGCCTACGCCTCCCGTTCCCTGACCAAAACCGAACAAGGCTACGCGCAGATCGAAAAGGAATGCCTCGCAGCGGTGTGGACGTGCGAGAGGTTAGACCCTCATCGACTACGTCACGGGCCGTCATTACTCATCTGAAGAGCATATTTGCTGTCCACGGCTATCCGGACATCTTCGTCAGCGATAACGGGCCACAGTTCGCGTCCGACGCCTTTGCACAGTTTATGTCGTCGTGCAACATCACGCATCGGACCAGCAACCCGAAGCATCCTCAAAGCAACGGCGAAGCAGAACGCGCCGTGCAGACTGCCAAACGACTAATCTGTGCGCCAGGTGGTCTACAGCAGTCCCTCTTAGCGTATCGCTCCACACCCCTGGCCAACGGCTATTCGCCCGCCGAACTCTTGTACGGCCACAGGCTCCGCACCAATCTTCCGTGCCCACCTGATCTCCTGCAGCCCTCCTGGCCAGACATCACCGCTCTCCGGGCCAAGGAGCAGGAGGCTAAGCATCGGCAAGAAGATCACTTCGATCAACGCTTCGCAGCCAAGTCGCTCTCCCCTCTGCCACTGGGAGCGAAAGTGTGGGTCGACGAGAAGCGCGAGGGTACAGTGGTTGAGCAACTCACCGATCGCTCCTACAACATCGCCACCTCATCCGGTCTTCTGCGCCGAAACCGTCGTGCAGTGAAGTTGCTCCAGCCAGTGACTCCTCCCGGACCGGTGCCAGCAGTACCACCGGCCGCGCTAGTCCCGCAACAACAGCTTGTGCCTACGTCACAGCCAACTCTGCGTGCTCGCAACAACATCCAGCCACCACAGAGATTGATCGCTACCATGTAACTCTCTCTGCCTTCATGCTATTGCTATTGCTCTCCCGCACATTAAATAGTTCTATGTGCCCGGCTATTTACAACCTGTACATGTATCTGTCTTGCCTTTGCTCCATAACAGGTTTTTCCCCAGCTGTTGTGATTTTGCTCTCTTCAATTAAAAAAAAAGGGGGAGATGTCCTATCCTGTATCATGTTATCCTTTCACCCATTCACGGCATAGTCCTTCCCCTGTCTGTCGCCATGTATAGACGGTACGTGAACTCTCACTACCCCTGTGCTACGCACGATACCATGCTCTGCTGGGCACGGCCTCCCTGACTCTTCACTATATCTACACTCATCTGTCTGTAAAATAAAACAACTCCTTATGTCAGTACATGACACAACACATACATGTGACAAAAACATCACAGTCGAACGGCGTCGTCTTGAGTTGGTCTTGGAGTCTTCATGGTTCAGCAACGCGGCATTGCCGAGTTGGAGAAAGAAAGCAATGAATGTACATGAACATTGTTCCACAACAAAGACACAGGGCAAAGCGTTCCAGCAGGCAGATCATTCTGATCACGTCCGCGCACCAAATAAACTCGAAGGCAGTCCAAGGACTTTCCGACACTCCGTGATCGCACGAGCGGCGAGCGTCTGGCCGTCAGTGCAGTCTTCAAATTGTTCCTTGGCAGCCATCTCTTCTCCGATTTCAATGATCGAGGGCTCATTTTCTTTATTAGAATCTCCTCCGTAGATCTACCGAATCAATTTTTTCCTCAACGACATAGTTTTACTGTCAGAATACTGGAAAGCAGGGCGACAACGTTCAGATAAAGCCCTACACAAGGATTCCGCTTGTACTTGACCGATTTCAAAATTTCTTTCGATAGATGTCCGCGTACTTGGCCGTCAAAGCAGCCCTGCGATTTTCGACGCCGTAGATAAAACGTCTGCTGCCTAGGAACCCTTTACAACTTGCGCAAATATTGCAATATTTTGAATTTTCCGCAGTTCTGATTGGCTGCACGACCCTGACGCGCACGTGCTGCGTGCGTGATGAATCAAAAATGACTGCGATGTCTAAGTACACAAGTGCGACCCCTGAATTTGATGCTCAGAATTTCTCCACAATCATGCACATTTTATACTGACATATTTACACTATGCAACCTAGTATTCAACAAATCAGAAAAAAAACTAGTACTTCAGCTGGTAAAAAAAGCCACCTTTATCCATTAAGCTCAAATGTCCCTGTAATATTGACAAGGAATTGGTAGATGCTCACTCTGAGTGGTGTTTGAAAAGTACCACAACAGTTCATGACGAAATAGAGCATGCTCAATTGTCTCTTCTCATAATATCACAATATTGCCTGTCTAGTTTGAGGGAAAGACACAAACGGGAAAAGTCTGAAGAAAAAATTGACTGTCACCACCAGGACTATTACGTGTTTTTTCGGGTGGAGTTGTGGGGCACATACAGTCCATTCATAAAAAAATGGGTCCTGGCTCTGGCGAGCTCCCGTATTTGGCGGTTTTTTGTGATTTCATCGTACACAGTGCAGTGCTGCGAACTTTGAAATTTGAAAAAGGGTCCAAAAAGGGTGCCTGAACTGGGGTTCGAACCGCAGAATGCACTGTTGCAGGCGGGGGTCAAACGGCCTGGATTTTGATGGTTTTTCCCAATTCAGTGCTTTTGGGGCAAAACCTGGCCGAAATCCTATTCTTGCTATGGCTTGCTTTTTGGACAAAAAAACTTCAGAAACATAATTGGAAGAGGATTCCATATGGGATTGCAGAAAAAAATTCTAAAAAAACTCAACGTTTGACCCATTTATGGCCAAAAGCTAGAAGTTCATTTTTTTCTGAATGGACTGTAGGTATCACTCTAATTTCTCGTGCATTCCAAAGATAAAGATTTGGTCTATCACTCCACGAAGCGGTTTTAGTGTCCATGGTGTGTAAATGGCTTACCTGGTGTGAAATTGGTGACCATATTCCTCGTTTCAGCACTTACAAAAGTGAGACATTCGCACAGGCTCGTGGTTGCTCATGAACCGTGGCTGCAAGCTCTAGAATATTTTTCCAAGGTACGGGTATAGGTGTCTACATCACTCCGAACCATCTCTTCAGTGTAGGAAAGGTCTCCTAACGAGACGAGAAGGGCTCTAAGCAGCAAATTTCATTGAAATGTTCGCCATTCGGCGATAGTCAACCAGAAAACAAGCCCGCAGGTACGAGGTGCGCCGCCTTGGACTTGGAAAGTAAGTAACGTTAGTTGGAGGCTACGATTCCCGCGAGGAAATGATTTTTTTAAATAAAATGATTATTTAAAATATCGGTCTCACTGTACTGGGGGACCGACTCGTACTCGTACTGAAACGTATGAGAAAAACAGGCTGATAATATTATTATGATTGAAGACATCGATGTTGAAGAAGATCATTGACGGTTTGTGTGGAGTGAAGATGGATTCTGCTCGTTACAGCGTTTCCTTTGCCGTTTCAGCTTCTACGCTGGAAATAATCAATGGCTATGGATAATTCAAAAGAAAGGCAGTTCCTCCACTGCTTGATTTTTTTGTCCTGAACCCTTTGCTGAAGCGGTGCGCAGTGGCCACGAATAAAACACTGCATTGGATGAGAAAAGCAGGAGGACTCAAAAGAACTGAAGACATTGATGTCGAACGAGTTAGGTAGTGGTACAGTAGCATGAACTACCTGTGGAGCGTGAAGTGGCTGCCCACTCGTTGGTAAGTGGACCCACTTGCAGCTCCAGTCGCAGCAGTGCCGTTTGAAACATTCTGTACCTCTTTGTCTATCCTGAGCTCAGTGTGTACGACGTATTTCAGAGCTGTTGCCTCAGTGTTGGGCTACAGTCTTGGCTGCAGCCTCAACGACTGTACTGATTATAATACACTGTTCAGCATTTTACATTCTGAACGAGTGATGAATTTCTACTCTGATAAAAGTGGGGATACCACAGCTAATAAAGATAGGTATGCATTGTGTAATTATGGGTGATTTGAATCATTTTCTGTGTGTAAGTACGTGTGTTCGCGCGTGTGCGCGTACCCACACGTGTGGGTTCGCACGTAAGGTTCGTCTGGGTTATGCACATGTTTGTGGAGCTGAAAAGATGTTCACACTCAGGTATGCATTGTGTAAATACCAGTGGCTGGTTTGAATCCTTTTCTGTGTGCAAGTACATGTACGTGTGTGCGCGTGTGCGCGCGTACCCGCATGCCTGGGTTCGCTCGTAAAGTTGGTCTGGGATATGCACATGTTTCCGTAATCGAGTGTGCATGTGCATGCAAAGGTTGGTGTGTACATGCTGTGTGCAACCAAGAGTACAATACCACCCAAGAGTGTGCAACTCGACAATGGGTGCTTGTCCGACAGAATTTCAAGTTGACGTCACACGACCCCTCGGACCTCAGGGAGGAGTCACACAGAACCGACGAATACATGCACTCGTGACCCTACCCCACCCATATAGTTCTGCTCGTGTGCACGCATATGGGTGGCACCAAGAGTACATAGCCCCCAGAATGCGCAACTCGCACATACCCTGCTGTCCCGACTGTATTTCAAGTTGACGTCATTATTTTATGAGGCGTCATTATTTTATGAGGCAATACTCCTTGCACCAGCGATTTACAACATGTATACGGTTGTCAACGCACTACACGTTTTTCTTTGCAATAATTTTTACAACAGATGGGTTTTGGTCCACAGCAGGTTCCGGATTCGTGTGGTAATCCGTGTACAGTGCGCAATACATGTACATCATAAAATGACGTCAACTTGAAATTCTGTCGGGACAGCACCCATAGTCGAGTTGCACACTCTTGGGTGGTATTGTACTCTTGGTTGACCACAACACGTACACACCAACGTTTGCATGCACATGCACACTCGATTACGGAAACATGTGCATATCCCAGACCAACTTTACGTGCGAACCCAGACACGTGGGTACGAGCACATGCGCGTACACACATTCTTGCACACAGAAACGGATTCAAATCAGCCATAGGTATTTGCACAATCTTTTCGGCTCCACAAACATGTGCATAATCCAGACAAACCTTACATGCGAAACCACATATGTGGATAAGCGCACACGCGCGAACATACATACTTGCACACAGAGAAGGATTCAAATCACCCATAATTACAATGCATACCTGTAGCATTCCCATATTTATCAAAGTAGAAATTCATCACTTGTTCAGAACGTAAACTTCTGAACAGTGCCTTCTTTACATAATCAGTACTGTGGTTAAGGCAGTAGCCAGAATTGTAGCCCATCAGCTCTGAAATACGTCGTACACACTGAGCTCAGGATAGACAAAGATCCACAGAATGTTTCAAACGGCACTGCTGAGACTGGAGCTGCAAGTAGGTCCACAGTACCAACGAGTGGGCAGCCACTTCACCTTCACGCTCCACAGGTAGTCCATGCTACTGTATCACTACGTTCAGTATCAAGGTCTTCAGCTACTTCCCCCCCCTGCTTTTCTCATCCAAAGCAGTGTTTTATTCGTGGCCACTGCGTACCGCTTCGGCAAAGGTTTTAGAACAAAAAAATCAAGCAGTGGAGGAACTGCCTTTGTTTTGAAATATCCATAGCCAGTGATTATTTCCAGCGTAGAAGCTGAAACGGCCAAAGAAACGCTGTAACGAGTAGAATCCATCTTCACTCCACCCAAACATCTTCTTCTTACGATCCACGTGCCCTTTGATAGGTTACGACCAATTAGCAGCCTCGGAGAACGTGCTTTGATTTGCCATCAAAGCCCGCTGTCAGTGGCAGCCTGTACTAGAAAACCATCAAATCCCGTTGCCATTGGTAATTGTACGACAAAACCGCCAAAGCCCTGATCATGCCCAGTCTCAGTCTTTTCAAGGTGACCTGGCTATAAGAACAAGAAACCGATAGGGGTGGTGGTCGGGGATGCGGTGGCTCTCCACTTGTGAAGTTTGATATCTAGCTCCAGCACCACAGAACTCTCAGCAGTATGCAGCAAGAGCAAGGTGTGTATGGTCGAAGTAAAAATACTTCAGCCACGTCTGGCTCTTGTCACATTGTAGTCTTGAGAAATTTCTCATGAAACAGGCTTATCGTCCACTCACGTGACTTTCCCTTTCCTGAAATCTCTGTGTGAAACTTACGAACGGGACGAAAATGACATGCTGCATGATGCACTTTACTGTCCCTCCAGGAATCCGCGGACAGAAAGTTGAAATTCTGCGGCACAAATCGCTACATTATGCGGCGGATAGCGTGAATTCTGCGGCAATACTGCGGTATTTCTGCGGCGCTGCACCGGCGAAAAGACATGGCTATATGCTATGTACAAGTATCAATAAAAAATTTAGTGGTCGAAAAGACACGATAGGCTCAATACAGTAACGAAGAAAACTGGTACAGTTTTCTGTGTAAAATTCCAAAACTCCCTCGACTTCGAATTCAACAAAATAGCGACAGGACACTGCACTGTGCATGTGCATGAATATGAAGCGCATGCTCGCATTGCCCCCAAACCGTGATTTTTCACGATTCTGCGGTGAAAACTGTGAATTCCGCGGGATATTAATTAAACAAAACATGAATTCCGCGGATTTTACCGCGGCCGCGGAATCGCGTGGAGTGACAGACTTTAGACTTCAGGCTGCTCGGAAATCCCAAACGAAAGGCCGGCATTGTCCACACTCCAGATCACTCAAAGAATAAAGAGCTTCAAAATCAAACAAAATATTAGGGATCGTCTGAAGCATATTCAAGCGAGGTACAGTCGGGCTTGATGACTGATCAAAGCCCTCGGGCCCTCGTCCCATGCATGGTCCCGTGGGCTTTGATCAACGTTCCTCGTGGCCATTGCGTGGTGCTTCACGCAGCAATTTTTGTTAGAAAACAGAATCATGCACAGTCAACTTTCCGTATAACGACACTCGGCTGGGCATCAGAAAAGTGTCGTTATTCGAGAAGTGTCTTTATACCCGAAATCTCATTATAATAATATTATAATGAGATTTCCAGGATAACGGCACTTTGCATATACAGGTAGAATAGACTTTGCTCTGGGCATGAAAAGTCTGTCGTTATTCGCGAATTGTCGTTCTATCCGCAGTCATTATTAGCGAAGTTTACTGTGCAAACTTACTTCCCACCCCGTGAAGTTTTCAGGCACATTCATAGCGTACAATCACGGGGTTTCCTCCCCCCCCCCCCCCCCCCCCCGATCACAGCCAACCCCTAAAAACTTCTTTTGTAAAAAAAACCGGGCACCCCGAAAAAATGGGTTATTATCGATAATATTTGAACAAGCGGCTCTGAAATCCCAAACGAAAGGCCGGCATTGTCCACACTCGAGATCACCCAAAGATCAGCCGAAGCAAGTTTGTGGATGCCAATAAACAGAATCAGCTGAAGCGTCATGTTACAAAGGTTTTATTGAGATGCCACAAAATGACGGCTTTGACTCTGAGCAGCAAATCAAAGCAAAGTTACAGTCCATTCAGAAAAAAAGATGAGCGCTGGCTCCGGAGAGCTCCCGTATTTGGGGATTTTGTGGTACACTGAGCAGTGACGCAAGATTCGAAACATGAAAAAGGGTCCATAAAGGATACCTCAACTGGGTTTCGAAACACAAGTGTACTGTTCTGCAAGTGGAGTGAACGGCCTGGATTTTGATGGTGTTTCCCCAATTCAGAGCTTACGGGGCAACACCTGGCCGAAATCCTATTCTTGTTATGGCTTGCTTTTTGGAGAAATAGATTTCAAAACATAATTGGAAGAGCTATCCATGGGGGATTGCCAAAAAAATTGTGACGAAAACTCAAAATTTGACCCGTTTATGGCCAAAAGCTAGGATATCATCTTTTTCCGAATGGACTGTAGTAAGCCCACGTATGCCATGCACGTGTTTGTCACGGGTTCGTCAAGCGGCACATGAATAAAAATATTTTTTCCGAAAATGGTGGATGGAAAAAAATTATAATCTTGCGTGGTCGCTCGCACTTTGCCTTGCCTCGTGTCAGCGAAGCAGCTTCTTTGTCAACAATTTCTGTCATCCAGTTAGTCAAAGATTAAGTGACTCAAGGTTGTGTTTTCTCAAGCTGTACATTAGAATCAGTTGTGCTAGGCTGCGTAGACAAGCGCTGAGCTGGAAGCGCTTGAAAATTCACAACTACAAACAGTGATCGATCACGCTTGGTTGAAATAGTTATTTTCAGAGTGGGCAGATAAAGTAGCTCATCGTCACACACACACACACACACACGCACACGCACACGCACACACACACACACACATACACACACACACACACACACACACACACACACACACACACACCATTGACCTTTGGCGCCCATCGCCGGAGGCGATGTTAGCAATGCTACGGCAGAAGCCATAGCAACGTGTGCTGGGATTGCACCATTCAACAGCTTGCAAGGCTGAAGAATTGACCGTCACTATTCAGCCTGGTCTACACCACACAGCTATGAAGTGGCTTTTTCTGGCTAGTGAATCGCTACTTTTTGGTTTATTTATTTTTATTTTTACATTTTTACAAGACACACGCACACACATACACACACGCACACACACACACAAGATGAAGATGAACATTTTGACAACAAAGCCGAAGTAACATCCTAAAACATCCACACTTCGAGCATGTCTTCTAACTTGTGACTTTGTTGCAGGCTTCAGCCCTCCCGATCATACTCATGCTGGCATTGCTGAGTACCTTGTGTGAAGCGAGCACCACGATGTGTGGACAGTGTAACTGTGAGAAAAACGACACGCAGATCATCATTACAACCTGTCCTAACATCCCTACCATGTGAGTATTGTTTCATCAGCCAGTTGCTAGATTTATACGTAGTGCAGTGTAGGTGTTATGTCTGGCCCTAAGGGCCCACACACAGCATTACTCAGGTTCGTACAGTTATTGTAATAATCAAGGAACAGAAAGACAAGGAAAAGAGAGCTCACATTCTCGGACCTAGTCCAGCACAGCAAGCATGCAAAACCAGCCACGAGCCCAGGCGCGCATGCGCGCCTTATCACATCACGTACACAGCAGTAGGAAACCCGGTTTCGCTTTCTTACTATGATGATGATGATTTTTATTACCGGTATTTTCATTTTCTTAATTCGAGGGTCTAGCTGTCTAGAATCTTTGGATAGGCACATGATAAGCACATCTGTGCCTATCCATTTACCGGCTGTAATGTTTCTATCTTGCTATCACTATTCCAAACCACAACTAACCCAGTGGTCCGGAAAGCTCCGTAACATAATGTCAGCAGAATGCCAATGGTGTGCATGCATGCGTACAATGCCAGTGCCTGGCGCTTAGCACCGTATTACAAATTCGCACACGAAGCAGCTACACTTTGCCGTACCATGTCCGGAACGTGCCAAAAACAGGAAAAAAAGTATCGCAAAGTTACCGCATTCAACGTTCATTCAATGCATGTGTCGATGCGTTGACTGTGCTTGTGCTAGAACAGATTGCACATACTGGGTAGGTCCTTCTTAGGCCACACGTTTTTATTTCTATGTTTCTCGTCACCTGAAAATCTAAAAACATATGCGAGAGGTGGAAAAAAAATAATGACCGAAAAATAAAAAAGGTTTATTAGACCTTTTTTCACACTAAAATCCCCCAATACACGATGTAAAATAGGATCCATAGTTAGCAATTACACGCAGTATGTGGTTGGAGCTTCTGTCACAATCTGTGCATGTCCAAATGCCGACCTCGCATCATGTGTCGCGCAGGCCAGGCCACATTTTGTACATGTAAATGAGTGTGCTGGTCCCCACATGTACAGTCAGTGCAGCACAGTTTTTTTCAGTTTTTCTTCCAGACTCCTGAATCGTATGTGAGCGGGTGACGAGAAACATAGAAATAAAAACGTGTGGCCTTACATGGCTATGCATGGTATATTTAAGCTTTGAACATGATTGTACATGGAGTAACAGACATTGTTGGTACCTTTGCAGAATGTTCGCTAAGGTCTAGTGAAGAGAAGAATCGGGAAAGGCACTTAAGTTGAACAAACACTGAGGAAAATGAAATTTGCAGAATGCAAAAAAAATGGACTCGGATGGAGAGCCAAGGGTTAAAGGGGAAGTATACCCTAAAATCAAATTTTCACCAGTTGTAGTCTTCGGGGTGCTGAATCGAATGGTCTTGGCCCGAGGAAACTGAGACGCTTTCCCAATCGAACTCAGGCACTTCCACCAAAACTGGGTGACTGCGCCCTACTAGATAGAGATTTGTTTGGAAAAAGTCGCTAAAAATGCCGTTTCGTTCTTATAAAGCGCAGATGACCGCGATTGGTCCATATGTTGTAGTCTTTTGGCCTCTGAGTCGACTGGTTTTGGTCCGAAAAGGCTGCGATGCAACGTTCGTCCCTTATTCCCAATCGAACACGGTTGAGTAAGCGGTCACGTGCTCCGACATGGCCAGCAATCGAGGACATCTGAGAGTTGTAATTTTTGTACTCCTCCGAGGTGTTATTTTTGGCGTGCTGGGCCAAGCACAAGGAAGCCATCTGCAAAAAAAACTGCAGAAAATGGTTGTTGTTTGATCCTTTGGTGTAATCTTTGTTTCTAGTCGAAGCTAGTCAGTTGCTGTTTGGAGCAGAAACGCTGAAATTGACGATTTTCTGCATGTACTCATACATGTACTCATGTACTCAGGCATGCAGTCTCACTCGTATTTTAGCTCTTTTTCTGGAATGGATGCTGCTCTGCGCCCCTTGGTGAACATTTCCTGCGCTCGTGGAGCAGCTGAAAAGGACCACTGGTATGTCTTGTTCCTGGTTTGAAAGTGGAGAGTCGACTTTTGTGCCTTGAAAAGGGAGTAGAGAGCGATAAAGGTACGTCTGTGGCTTATTTTTGAGTGCTCCTTGATCGTTATAGAAACTCTCAGACCAATGTCAGACCAAAGTCAGCGCGATGATGGCCGTACAGTTTTCTTGTGGATTTTTTAGTTGTTTCATCTCGTATCTATGTCAGTATCGTGATGGTGAAGTGGAGAGGGTGATTTTCTTCCTCTAGGCTTCGTTCGGCCAACTTTGCTTCGTCCTCGTTGAAAAGTGATCCTGAAAAAAGGTCGATTCCCAAAATTATGTTGATTTTCAATGTACGTGATGACATGCGATTGCTGGCTATGCAATTATAGCCTGTTTGGGCCCGTTTATGTCACTCGATTTGAACCTTTGAACCAGGAAGTCGCTTACGACTCCCTGCTTTGAACCTTTGAGTTGAACTTTGATGTGAAAATTGTAGCCTGCGGGCACGGTGACCAGGCGACTTGTGTAAAACTCCATAACCAGCCGGAGAAAGGCTTTGTAGGCTCGAAGTCCGTCAGGAATAGTCAGCAAGTGAAATGCCTTGCGTAAGGCTCGAAGGCTCTGGGTTGCTCAGACTGCAACAGTCCTGATATGCTGGCTGAATTTCAGCTGTTGGTCGAACGTGACGCCGAGTACTTTGATAGAGGGCTGATTCTCAACTGGAGTTCAATCAAAGACGATGGGTAAATGGCCAGTCATGACGATGGTGGGAGATTGTACGTGGTCTCCTAGATTTGCAACGGGTAATAGCTGATGTTGTACATACTCTCCAGGGTTATACCAGGGCTGGGCAGTGTCTTCGGGATTTTACTGTGGCTGTACACGTATGAAGGAGTTTGAATTCTTTATTCTTACGATGGCACCATTGCCAATAAGAGATAAATCTATGAGAAGGTGAGATGCTGTGTGTTTGAATTCTTTATTCTCACGATGGCACCATCGCCAATAAGAGATACATTGATGAGAAGGTGAGATTGTGGGTTAAACATTTGGAAAGTGATTTACATCACTTTGAACTTTACAAGGATGGGAGAGGGTGAGCGCTGCAGGAAAAGATTGAGTTAATCAGCAGTGAGCAGATTTCTTGTTTGAAAGCAGGTCGGGAGGAGATGTCACGAATGCTAGCAGGGAAGGCATTGTAGTATTCTAGGGACTTGTACAGTGGGGAGTCTTTACAGCGATCAGTTCTGGATGGTGGGAGGTGCCAAGTGTGTGCGTGTCGAAGGCTGTACTGGGCCGTAACGTGAGCGGGGGTGTTGAGCAAGTGTATGTGTTGTGGGGCATATTGGTATTTTATGGAGTGAGCAAGAAGGGTGAGCTTCACTTTGCGGCGAGAGAACATTGTCGGCCATTTGAGACGATGGAGCAGTGTTGAATGATTCAGAGGAGTGTAGAGGGGAGACGGAGGCAGATTCTGGCCGCCTTGCGCTGGATTCGCTCAAGACGGTCAAGGGCTGCGATGGAGAGCGGGGTGACAACAATGCATGCATATTCAATTATAGGCAGGATATATGTTTTGTAAATGAGAGAGAGTGATGTAGTGTGTAGAGTTGATTTGAGCCTAAAGAGAATATTAAGAGATTTTACGGCTTTCTTCAGCACAAAGTCAAGATGGGCTGACCATCTTAGGTCGCGCTGAAAGATGATGCCGAGGTGACGATGTGTTACTGTTTCTAGTAGGGTTTGCCCAAGTTTTATTTCGGGTAGTCGTGGTGGGGGTCGGTTAGCATGGTAGAACGGGAGGATGACGGTTTTCGTTTTATTGACTAGCAGGTGCCAGCACTCTAGCCATTCTGCTGCGGCATCGATGCTTCTTTGTAGCGCAGCCTCACACTCAATGTAGCTGCCTGCAATGGCAATTGGTGCGGTGTCGTCCGCGAACTGGCTACACGAGGTTGTAGCATTTTCACTCGCAGTTGGCAGGTCAATGGTGTACTCCAGGAACAGAAGTGGTCCCAGGACCGAGCCCTGGGGCACTCCCGCTGGTATTGGTATGAAGGCGGATGTTGTGCCTTCAACCTACACCCGCTGTCTGCGTCCTGTCAAGTAGGCTTCGAGCAAATTGTGAGCCTTGCCGTCGACACCGTAGTGGCTCAGCTTTTTCAGCAAGCCTTGATGCCATACACGATCAAAGGCTTTACTGAGATCGAAGAAACACGTAACAACATGCTTCCCCTCATCCCTAGCTGTGGATATCTGGTGGACGATCCGTGCGAGTTGCAGTTCGGTCCGGTCTTGTTTCCTGAAGCCGGATTGGTTGGAGGGTAAATGCGGTGCTATGTGATTGTACAGACGAGAGTGGACTATTTTTCTTGTGTTTTTGATATTATATTGAGCAGGGAGATGGGTCGGTAGTTGGTAGGATGGTAGGGGTTGCCCGACTTGGGGATGGGTGTAATAGTTGCGTCTTTCCAATCCTGTGGTATTTCTCCGGTTCTGAAGGACAGATTGTAGAGACTAGTGAGAGATGGGGAGATTTCCTTTGCAGTTTCTTTCAGGAGCCGAGTTGGGATGTTGTCAAAGCCTGGGCTCTTGCCAGTGTCTAGACTGCTTAGAAGCTTCTCGACCTCTTCCACTGTTGCTGCGATTGTATTTAGAGTATGACTGATGTCAGGGGTAGTGTTGATGTCTGGTGTAGTACAGGTGGTCTTGTCGATAGACTGTTGGCTTTGGGAGATAAAGAACTTGTTGAGAGCTGTTGCCTTCTCCATAGCCGTGGCTGCAGTAGAGTTGGCTGTCGATAGTGTGGGAATTGTTTGCTTAGACGGTTTCTTCAGGTGCTTCAGTAGACGGTGGAGGTTTGTACCCGTTGACGTTGTTTGATGGACAAAATTGGACTTAGCCTGTCGCAAAAGAGCGGTTACTCGGTTACGCTGGGCTATGTACAGTTTCCAATCTGAGTCTAGTTGGGTCGCCTTGTAGGTGCGGAACTGTTTATGCTTTGTTTTGATCTGGCTGAGGAGATCCTTCGTCATCCAGGGACAAGTGGGCGTAGTAATTTTGCGGGACTTGTTTCTGGTCACTTGGCAGTGGTGCATGGCTAGTTTCAGTATCTGGTCTCTCCAGGAGTTGCAGAATGAGGTTACTGGCTGAGGGTCAGTGGGATGTGGATCGTACTGCAGGTTGCAGGTAGCAAGAGCTTCACGCAGGGACGCAATGCGTTCCTCGCTCCACAACCAGTATGTGCTGGAGGTGCTCTGCTGTGTAGTACTGCTCTCATTTTTATTATTATTGGTATTATTGTTTCTGTGGGTGGTGTGCTGCTGGGGTCGTAGGTTGCCTTGTATGACAACATGATCAGAGGCACCCATAGGGGGCAGGCTTGTGATGGTGATGTTATGGCGGCTGAGGCTAGAGATGGCCAGGTCCACGCACGATGTAGGTGTGTGTTGGCGTAGGTGGGTGGCAAAGGAGACGCGTTGTGTGAGGCCACGAGTCTCGCACAGCCAATGCAGGTCCTCACCTAAGGCATCAGTAGTGTCGCTGGGGTGCCACAAGCAGTTCTTGGCGTTGAAGTCGCCAAGGAGAAGTATCTCATCCTGGGGTCTTTCAACTAGCTTTATGGCTCTCTCCAGTTCCATCACGAACTCTGCCGGGTCGGACCGCGGGGGACGGTAGATGTTCCCTACCACAAGGGAGGCTTGGCCGATTGTTATTCTAATCCAAATACATTCCGCTTGAGTCATGGGAATGGTAATTGTCTCGTGTTGGCAGCTGTGTGGTATGTATGTGGCGACTCCTCCACCAAAGGTCGCTGTCCGATGGATCCGCCCAGGTTTCCCAGGTGGCAACTCTGCCACGTGGCTAAGCTCGTCCATCTTGTTGAACAGACACCTGACGTTCGAGCTGATGAAATTCGCGACTTCCATTATTTTTTATTTATTTTTGTAATTTGTTTCGTTTTTTTGGTATTTCCGCAATTGAAAGTATTGTTCTCACTGATATTGTGTGGAGGACAGCGCTAGGATTGAGTATCCTGTGACACCAGTTGGCTGAAGCGTGAGCCCTGTGCTGGGGCAAGGGGTTGGCTTTGGCCAGGGTCGATGTTGTTGCTCTCTTTTTGTTTTTTGGAATTTTTGAAATCAGGTGAGGATTCCGCATTGGGACTGGGTCTCCTGCGTCGTTCGGAGGTAATCCAGTGGTTTGCTGGCTGTTTAGACATGTCTGTGTTAGTCACCAGTGAGGAGAGGAGGTCTTCAGCACGCGCCGAATCTGGGTGATTACACTTTGTTGTCGGAGTAGTTGTGTCGGTGTGCGGTGAGTTGGATGTTGTCATACTTGTATTTGTGCTGCCTGGCGGCGTTCCGGGGTGCACGGTCGTGCTGGTTGCCGACATGGGCGATGCGATGTAGTGTTCGTGCGACTCGTACTGGTTGTTGACTGGGTCGTTTGGGTGCGAGCTCGGGAGCAGGTCTGCTTTCGGCGTGGTGTTGGCACCTTCGGAGGCCGTTTGGGGTACGGCGCTGGCGTGGGTCAAACTCGGGGGCGCTTTTGGTGCCGAATCGGTACGGTGAGACTCCGCTTCAGCTCCGCTGTTCATGTTCCGCTCTGTGCTGCCAGTGCTGCTGCCTTCTCTGCCGGCATGTGTGGATGTGTGTGCACTGCGACGGTTTTGGCAGGTACGCGCGATGTGACCTAGCTGGCCACATAGCCTGCACGTGCCTACCTGGCCGTCGTAGATGATGCGGAGCTCGTGGGAGCCTTCTGTCGTTTGCATGTACGACGGGATCGAACTGCCTGGTTTGAGTTCGAAAGTGGCGAATCGCACACCAGTTGCTGTTTGGGTGCCGTTTGAAAGTTTGATTTTGCCGTGTCGTATCTCACCGATAAGCTTTCCGTACGGTGAGAGCGCAGCTTTTATTACACTGTCTGAGATCCAGATTGGAGCATCATGGATGTGTAACTGCGTTGTTGGTGCGGAAACGAAGCGTGGTGAAACCCGTTCGCCCTTGCAATCGAAGCCATTGAGCACCAACAATTTGGCTTTTTCATATGACTCAATGGTAAGTCTACATTGACCCCTGCTTGTTGTCTGCATCGAAATGATGCCGGTGATACCTTGCTCTTCTAGGAGCTTTATGTAGGCCCCCACGCTTACCTGGGCTTGCGAGGGGAATACAACAGTGTTCTTCTTCAGTGTCGAAGACGAGAGCTGTCACCAGGGCTCCGTATCAGCTCCGTTTCCGGCCATGATGCCTGGCGGTTGTAGTGAATCAGCACTCTAAGTGATCTAGTTTGCTACCTGTGCATCCACAGCCATACGGGCTGGGAGCGGACTATTATGCTAAAAAAACTACGGAGCTCCAAAAACTGCTTCCGCTCTCCAGCTGGTTGACTGATGTTTGCACCGGGGTTGTACACCGTCTCCCGGGTTGTTCATACCCTGGTTTGTATCAGGGTTGTACATACTCTACTGGGTTTGTACAGGGTTGTAAATACTCTCCCTGGTTTGTACCAGGTTGTACATACTCTCCCGAGTTTGTACCAGGGTTGCACAAACTCTCCAGGGAGTATGCATGCACTGTACTATCGGGTGATAATAACTATCCAGGTGAGTATATCATTTCAAGCAGGGTCCACATTTGTGCTAAATTTTCCTCCTAATCTTTTTTTTGCAGAAATCTATGGAGTGAAGGTGTGACTGATCTAACGAGTAATGCTTTTGCCCTGGCAACCATCACAACCTACATGTAAGTGATGTCAGAAGTTTGTGTTAGTTTGACTGAGATCTGGCCATGTTTCCCTTCACCGTCATTCCATGATGACTTTTACTGCGTTCCCAACTGATCGTGTGATTTCAAAAAACCGTTAGGCCAGCATCTATGCCACATAAGATCTGTGATCACTTTGTGCATACAAATTTTAGGGTTCACGGCTTGCCACTAAAAGCACCCGTCACGTCCGCCTCCATTTTGGATTATGGACGCGCGCTACAGGCCGCGACAGCGCCTATCGAAGTAAAAAAATATCGATTTGAAGTCTAGGCGGAGAGCGTACTATTTGAATTTTTCCTTGGCTTCAGTGGCTTCACTTCACTCGGGCTTTGCATTTTTCTGACTGACCTGGACTTGATGATGGCGGCGGTGGCGGTCTTGGCGAAAGATCCAGTTCCATCTGAGACACTCTGTCGTCTTTTCTTATCTGCTGAGGTTCTGGCAAAGCGCAGCTGCATCGAACCTGACTAGATGTAGCTGCACGCATCCTTTGTTTGCCGTGCAAATCTCGATCTGTTGCTCTTCTTGCTGTTTGGCCGCTGATGCCATGGAAGAAAATATTCTTCCTGCAAAGAGGCCGAAACTGAGCTAGGGCACGTCAAGATATGTAGGGTATACAAAGAAAAAGAAATGTCATGGTCGTTTCAGCAGCTCACGACAGCCAACACGCTCCATCGTCGGGATTGGAAGTATCCAGCACGGCTGTTCCGAGCGCTGCTGCTCTTGTTATTCTTCTTCTTCAGAAATTCTCCACACCTTGTCGGCCAAAGTACGCGCGCGCGTGCACGGAAAATAGATGCGCTGAGCCGTTTCTTGTTCGATTTTGACAAATAATGGCTTGTTGTTTTGCTCTCGACCTTGGCTATCCTTCTACCGTTCAATATTTTACGGAAACGCAACGGCTCCCCCTGTTTTTTTAGCCGAACTTTGGCCAAAGTTACTGAAAAACCCGGAACTCGTTTGAAAAAAATACGAACGGTGGAAGTCTTGGAACGTCTTTCGTGCGTGTGGATTCAAAAATTCAGGCAGTTTGAGCCAACCGTAATGAATCCCGTAGAGTTGAAAGTGAGTGATATTGATGGGAAAATGCGATTTGAGCACTGACCGATTGGGTGGGACAGTATATGCACGCGCCTGTCACGTGCATGATGTAGCTGGCGACGCTAGCATGCCAATCCGTGAACCCTAAATTTGGAAATTGGGTGTTTGCTATCCGATCGCTTAAAAATCTATATAAGATTAATTGCAGGAAGGACCGGAGCAATATTCCGAAAAAAGTTCTCCAACAGATCCAGCCAAATTTGAAATATTCCAAAAATACCATGCGTCTATATTTTTGAAATGGACTGTATATGACGTGAAGGAGACTTGAAACCTGCAACTGAGTATTTCCAATGTAGCATGTATAAACACCAAGTGATGTTAGATCGGCGAACTCAGATGTTGTTTTTTTTTACTATCAAAGCCGGATACATAATCCAATTCATCCGGTTGATGGTTTGCTAGATTCACTATCTAGCTTCTAGCTGCAGGTGCCTGAACTACAGTGCGCGTCGTCTTTTCAATCTTTCCATTATTTGATTCACCCTTCAGGATGCTCACTCTGCCTACATTAACCGTCTTTCTCACTGTTCATACCACCAGCTGATAACAGCCAGCAGTCGTACTTGTCTTGAAAGGAATATTTCCCTTGACCGCAGAACTGTCACCGAGACACTGTACAATTACACCAATATCTACACGCGAGAGCAACGCTTAAATACCAAGCAATCTGTCTTTGTCTTTCGCTGCCTGCATGGTTTATCCAGCTCACTTCTCAGCCGCCTATTCACTTCCCGCTGTATTGGACCACACACATGTCACATTCCCCACCCTTGTGCAGAATGGGCCCCGTATATCCTGCCTAGATCTCGCTGTCACGGATGTAGACAGCAACTATGCCTTTATATCTAGCCTCCCGCAGATTAGCAGCTCGGACTACCTATCCATCAGGGGTATATTTGAGCCAGTCGCTGCACCTCCTTGAGCCGCACCGCCTCCTACCCATAAAACCACCGATTGGAAATGGTCTAATCAAAGCATCAGAAGGCTGAAAGCCGAAATTGAACGCGCACAACTGCTCCTGGAAGGTGACACCCTGAACAGTACCAACATAGACAACCTGTGGCACTCATGGAAGGACAAAGTGCTCATTTGCGCCTGTCAACAATGTGCAGTATATCACTCCCCGAGGCATACTAGCTACCCAGCAAAGCCATGGCTGAACCCAGAGCTCACTAACGCCATCAGAGAAAACACCGACTCTACCTTACCTACTTGCACACCCGGACGCCCGGCAACTGGACAACATACACCACCCAACGCAACAAAGTTACTCACCTTTTCCGAATCGCTAAGTCTACATATCTCGCAGAGCCAACAGTCAGTCACAGGGTGTCACGAAGAACTCCCCTCCATTCATTTTATAAGTAAAATACTACCTTCCTCCTCCTCTCCATTGCGATCTTCAGTGTTCGTTCCATTATGATTATTATTTGTAATATGTATCGTATCTATCAAGAATTGACCTTTGTGACGTTTGTGAGCATGGGGTGGGGTGGGTCACGGAAAAAACACCAACATCTTCATTATTATTTGGTCCGTTTCATCGCAATTGTCGCTTATTTCCCACGCACCTTTTGACAGGTAAAACCCAGTCCGATCTCGATATCTAACTCACATTCGTTTGGGAGGTTGTGATGGCAAGATCAAAGGAGACCAGAAAGAAAGAAAAACCATCGCGACTAGCGCCAGTGGCATCGCGATTCATACAATTTTGATGGGAAAGTGGGAAACTTTTCGCTGCAGTGAATGCACTGCAGTGAATGCACACTGCGTGAATGCACACATTCACTGCAGCGAAAAGCGAAGCGCAGCTCAAAGACCGGAACTGTAGCAGGGGAAATCGACATCCTGACCTGGAGAGCGTGACAGTCACGACCAGGCCATCCAGCTCAGTTGTTTGAACTGCAATGACCTGGTATTCTTTGCAAGCCTGCAAACTGATTGCGAGATGGTGGCAAAGAAGACATTGTCCGACCTGGCAGCGGCAGTACAAAAGTCGTGGTCAGCGTATCCAGCAGAGCGTATGACAGCTGTCTGGAGAGGGATGTGTGCCTGATTCAAAAACATTGTTGAACACACAGTACTGTAGTGACAGACGGGTCACGCTGCCCACGTTCCTCCAAGTGCCAAAGTGACAGCCGCGATTGTTCCTTTCCCATCGCTGCTATACGCCAAGCGGAGAAAGCAAGAGATACTCTACGGCAGCAGCTATACACACCAGTGAATGTCAGCTCAAATGGCATCAGCTCGAGTGATACAGAGCCAGAGTCGGATAAACTAAAGCGTGAGTGCAAGAAGGCGCTCCGTCGCTGTTTTCTTTTTTTGTTTTCTTTTGTACATTTTTTGTAACCTTGCTTCCTTTCTTCGACTTGCTTCATCAGATTCCATCGCTGAATTTATTTCTTGTGGCGGACAGGAATCCTGTATCATGCTTCTTCACTATGCGTATTGGAAATTTTACAGAGCGGTAAAAAAACTCCTGTTCTTAGTTGCGATAGATAAGCGACAATTGCGATGAAACGGACCAAGTATGTTTATGATCCCCATATCCAGTATTCTACTTGGTCCGACTTATTAAAATGTGCGCTTCACTTCAAAACTCAAGCATATGTACAAAGAAGCACCTGTACCAAAAATCAACCAAGAGACGGTAGATAGGTAACTACTGTGTGGTCTGACCTTCTAGTTTTCATCGCTGCTGGTGTCCCAGGGCGCATCTGCAAGTGTCCCCCTGCAAAACGTCGACATTTTTTTCATCTCCTCCAAGCTATGCTGTGCTTTCTTGATTTTTACACTCCATAGGCACGATTTGGACGATCGGCTTCGCCTCCTCCTCGAGCAGTACGACTGCCAGAATGGTTGCTGTAGGTGTTTTCGCCTGACGCTCCCACGACACCTTCAATTCAAATGAGGCGACACCACCATGCATAAAAAATCACTTCTCATCACCGTGTGCCGCGCGCTTACTGAGTCAGATCTGTGTCAACATGACATGTCGACACATGTCTAACCATGCGTTCTCTTCCCTGTTTAGTAACTTTTACGAATCCACTGGCCTCGGAGCCGGAGCCGGGAGATCTTGTGACGGAGCTTTAGCATAAGCTTGATGTAGCGATGACGCATCGCGATGGCGGCTCCGAGAACTCCGCACCATTCACGCACCGTATCCGCAGAACAGTTCACCCTTTCTGCGCTTCAGTTTTCCAGCAAGGTTTTCGCCTGAAAGGCGACCTCAGTGATAGATTGCATACCGTCCTACCGGTAGGACCACGGGTTCTACCGGTAGGACCCAAGAAATCGAGCTGCAAAAGTGCTTTTGGTTGAGAATTTTTTTGAAACAATTGTTGAGATGAGGTCTTTGTCAGGCAAAGTAATGGCGCAAAATGCAAGGCTATGTCCAGTGCATTGCGTATGCGCAATTTTATCAATTGTCAAAATGGCCGCACATAATCCTGTCGGTGCGCTAGCAACTCTGTCCAAAGTGAATTTTGACCATGGCACATCAATTGTGGTGACGTCCTAATGTTTTTATTAGCTTGCCAAGGCCGTGGAATGCATAATACCATACTCTGTTGCCATGGTTACCATGGGTTGTTACCATGGAATTTCGTAGTATGCCTTAGGCGATCACGTCTAAAATTTATGGACTCCTTCATCAGCCCCTTAGCAACAGTTTAGGGTCAAGTTTTAGGTCAATGTTAGAATAGAGGCCATGCAGCATGTCTGTGTATGATGGTCCTACCGGTAGGTCCTACCGGTAGAACCGAGGTCTATGCAAGCTATCATTAGGGATGGCGCGTACTGAATCAGATCTTTATCGACATTATGTCAACAGATGTCTAACCATGCGTGCTCTTTCCTGTTTAGTATCT